TGTGTATATATCTCTGGATTATGTTGTAATTTTTTTGAGGAGCAATGATACCAATTTCCATACAAGCTGAGACATTTTCCATTCTCATCAGCAACACACAGGGTTGCTGATGAGATAGTCCCTTGGTCTATATTTGAGTGATTCCATTTGCCAAAATGATCTAGGTTAAGAAAGTTAAGACTGGCACATTTCTTTGGTAATGTCAATTTCCTCTCATTAAGAAAACCAAACAAGGGGCTGGAGAGATGGCTCAGGGGTTAAGAGCACTGACTGTTCTTCCGGAGGTTCTGAGTTCAATTCCCAGAAACCACATGGTGGCTCACAACCATCTGTAATGTGATCTGGTGCCCTCTTCTGGCACACACTGTAAAAATGATAAATAAATAAATCTTTAAAAAAAAGGAAAGAAAACCAAACAAAAGGAACAACAAATAAATATGACATTCTAGTTAATGATATTGCTAAAGATTAAAAAAAGCCAAACATTAGTTATAGCAGAGGACACAGATGTTTATTTAATAACTATTGACAGTAGCAGGAAAAGCTGAGCTTCATTTCAATTGTGCAGAGGTGACTGGACCTTTTAAAAGGAGAATGAAGGCTGGGCGTGGTGGCACTCTTAATTCCACATTCAGGAAGCAGAGCCAGGCCCATCTCTGTGAATTCGAGGCTAACTTGAGTTACATAGTGAGACCTTGTCTAACACACACACTACAGCACCACCAACAACAAAATGGATAATGAGGGGAAAAAAGAGAAGTGAGCAAAGGGGCTTCTTAGAAAACTGAAAAATTCCAAAGATTTGAGAGCATGATGCTGTTACATGCCAGGAAACCCAACACCAAAGAATAGGATTGCAAGTGACATTGGCAGATCTTATCTCAACAACAGTAACATAATAATAATAATAGTTGGTTGATGTAAAAGTAATTAAGCCAGCTGTATTTGGTAGTTGTCCGTTACAGAAGATGGGATTCTATCTTCCCACCAAACTGGGAAACAGATGCCTGAACTTTCTGATGACTTCATTTCAAAGGAAGGGCTTTCTCTCTTGGAGAAATACATTACTGGCTTGTAGAAGATACATGCGTCTCAACAGGACAGAGGAATAACCAGTAATTCTACGCCTTTGTAAAAGTAAATTCTTTGGGCAAAACATGTAGGTGTCGGCTAATAGATTCTTTTCGCAGCCCTGTGCTTTCTCAGACCGGCGTTAAAAGGGAGGGGGTCTGGTGCTCCTGGGGAAGCCGCACGAAGCTCTTTAAGTCTCTTAGGACTGTGGTTTTGCAATCATTCTGTGAGAGATCTTTGGAATTTCAATAAAGCAGGCTGAAACTTTTAGGGATGGCGTGCACTAATGTATTTCTTAAAGCATCAAAAGGGCAGGCGGAATACTGTCATACAAGAAAACAAATACAGCGAACATTATTGGTGAAATCTAGAGCCGGCCAATCTTTCAGTAGAATGTGAGTCGAGCACACAGACGGTCAATGTTTGTAGAACGAATGAACCATACTCTTAACGCTCTTAGAACCAGTAAGGACTCTCTCTCTGAACAAAAGCCGACCCAAAGCGCAGGAACTGAGGCTCTGAAGTCGCTCTGGCTTCCCAGTAGCGAAGCTCTATGGCAGGCCCTCCGAGGTTGCGGAACCGCGGCTTCCCGACTGTGGTCCACCTCCGGGAACATGCCCCAGGCTACCTACTGCTACGTGCGGGTCGTGGGCAGGGGCAGTTACGGGGAGGTAACGCTCGTGAAGCATCGGCGGGACGGCAAGCAGGTCGGGGATTCGGGACCCGGCCAGGGGCGATGAGGGAAGGGGTGCGCTGAGGGCAACCTCAAAAGTCGTAGGTCCCGAGAGGTGGGCAGGGATTAATCTTAGATAGGAGGTCAGCTTCCCAACTCCCTCTGTAATAGTAGCTCCAAGTGTCTGTTCTATGGTATTAACTAGTGTACTTTATTTGCCAACCTCCCGCCACCTTAACATTTCATGAGAGCAGGGGCCATGCGTTCCTAAGGCCTAACTCAGTGCCACCTGTGAAACACCATCTCTTGTGCAGCTTGCTCTACTTAAAGTACGGCTCATCTTTTCACCCGCACTTCTTAAAGTAGTGAGAAGTGACTAGCTTGGTCAGCCGTGCAGCTGCCTAAGCTGGACTTGGTACAATTATCTTTAATGCTCCCAACGCGGTTTATATTCCTGTCACTAAACCAAACCAGCATCTTCATCTCTATTGGTACTGCCCCAATACAAGGCACCATTCTTTTTAAACTAAATGCCCACTCCTTCCAAAGGAGTCCCTGTCGCCTATTTTCTTTTCTCTGACTCCTCTCTTTTGAAGCTGCAGTGATTTTTCTAGAATTCAAATCTGGTATCACTCCTTCTTTTTGTGAAGTATTTTATCCCATGACCCAAAGGCTAATGAACCAATTCTTAAGTATGATTTGTTGTCAGGTGTCCGTAGAATGTTTTGCACAAATGGGGACAATTGTGAAACTGAAAAGTGGCATCTCATAACACTACCAAACCAGTTGCAACAACAAGCTGAGAGAGCCTTCACACCTGAAGTGTAGGACCCACTCTTCTCACATGCTAGATTCTCTGCCTAGAACACAAGCTTTCTCATAAGAGATTAATTCAGTAGGCACCCTGGGGAATTGAGCATTACTTTGTACTTCAAGAAACACATTTATGTATGTGTTTATTGAAGAAGTGAGTATATGATCTTTGAGATGATTGAGGGCAGTATATTAAATGGTAAAGGATTTTATTTTTAAATGGGAATGATGCCCTTTGTGAAGGACCAATGATACTTTAACTTTATTGGGCCACGAGTATCTAATGAGTCTCATAATTTATTTAAACCTTTATCTTAATGCCTTTTATAAGGAGAATTTAGAGGTTAAGGGGTATTTTCTGTCTAATAGTACGTTATCTTGGATTTACTTTTTAGTCATTTTTGTGTGTTTTCCCTTTCTTTTCTTTTCTTTTCTTTCTTTTTCTTTTTTTGAGATAGTGTATCACTGTGTTGTCCAGGTTGTTTTTCAAATTTCTGGGCATAAGTAACTTTGCTGCCTTAGCCTTCAAGGTATCTTGGGATTGCAGATTCAAAGAAATTGTAAAATGTAGAGGAAAAGGTATTTGTGACCTGGAATGGGCATAAGTCAGGCTTAGGAAGAAGTCATTAGCTGGACTAATTAGCAGAGTACTTGCCCAGCATGTGCAAGGCCTGGGGTTTGAGCCCAACCCTGGAAAAATAGCATAATTGTTAATGGCCAATATTTTCCCCCAGTTTTATTCTTTTTGTTTGTTTTATTTTGTTTCAAGACAGGGTTTCTCTGTGTAACCCTGGCTGTCTTGGAACTCTCTCTGTAGACTAGGTTGGCCTCTAACTCAGAGAGTCACCTGTCTCTGCCTCCAGAGTTCTGGGATTAAAGGTGTGTACCACCAGCACTAGACCAGTTTTGATCCTCCTCGTCAATGTATTCCACTGGCAATATTATGCCTCTTGAAAGCAAGCCAGTAGGTTATCTGATAGGCTCCAGAAGGTTGTTTTTGAGGGCTGGACATCCGTGAGAACTCTTAGTTACTTCTGAACTCTGTTTTCTTGCACCTTGTGAAAGAATACATTTTCTTTGTTAGTACGTTATCAAAAAATTGAACCTCCGAAATGCCTCCAGCCGTGAGCGCAGAGCTGCTGAGCAGGAAGCTCAGCTCCTGTCTCAGTTGAAGCACCCCAACATTGTCACCTACAAAGAGTCTTGGGAGGGAGGAGACGGACTGCTCTACATCGTCATGGGCTTCTGCGAAGGAGGCGACCTGTACCGGAAGCTCAAGGAACAGAAGGGGCAGCTTCTTCCTGAGAGTCAGGTGGTGGAGTGGTTTGTCCAGATCGCCATGGCTTTGCAGGTACTGTCACTGAAGTCCTGTAGGCTTCAGGAAGGTAGAAGGTGTATTTTCCTATGCCAGGGATGGTATGATAGGCTAGCAACCCATGGGCTGTGAATGATTCTACCAATACAGAAAAAGTTAGTAGAATTTACTAAATTTACTGAGATATAGCTACAGAAGGCAAAAGTGAAGAGAGAAATTGTCTATACAGAAATATTTTTAGGTGCTGGGTTTTTTTTTTGTGGGGCTTTTTTGTTTGTTTTTTTTTAGTTTTTCAAGACAGGGTTTCTCTGTGTAACAGCCCTGGCTGTCCTTGAACTCACTATGTAGCTCAAGGTAATCTCAAAATGACAGCAGTCCTCTTGTGTGATCCTTCCAAGTGTTGGTCTTAATAGGCCTCAGCCACCATGCCTGGTTTATAAGCATATATTTTAATGGATCCAGGTATTATAAAAAATTATACAATTGTCAGGGCATAGGAAACAAGTGCAGAAGGTACCAGACCAACTAATATGTGAAACTTAATTTTATGTGTTGGCATACACGTTCATAGATGTGTGCACATACATATACACATATGTGTGTGTATATGTGTGGAAGCCAGATGTGAAAGTGTTAGACAGGGTCTCTCATTGACTGTGAAATGCACTCACGTGGCAGGAGCTCCAGAAATCCTCTGGTCTTCACCTCCCCAGGACTAGGAATGCCTCAGCATGCCTTGTTTTTTTACAGAGTGCTAGCAATCTAAACTCAGGTTCTCATACTGTATGACAAGCTCTTTGCCAACCAAGTCATCTTCCCAGCCTCTGGAACGCACTTTTTCTTACTTTAAAAGTTGTAAAGTAGTTCTTTTAAAGCTTATACAACAGTAATGTTTTGGTTGGCTGATAACTAATGCTCTTTAACTCAAGTGATTACTGGTGGTATATAGAAAGAGCTAGAAATAAGTAAATAAATTAGTATATTTACATATAATGAAAACTTCTTCTCTCTTCTCAGTATTTGCATGAGAAACACATCCTTCATCGAGATCTGAAAACTCAGAATGTCTTCTTAACAAGAACAAACATCATCAAGGTGGGCGACCTGGGGATTGCACGAGTGTTGGAGCACCAGAGTGACATGGCGAGCACCCTCATTGGCACTCCCTATTACATGAGCCCTGAATTGTTCTCAAACCAACCCTACAACTATAAGGTAGGATGCATACAGCTGTCAAGATGTGTACTACCTGACCTTGTCTCTGGGAGAATATCAGATTTCAGAGCCTATATGAGTAGTTAAATCAGAATTAACTATGAATCAGTTGGAAGAAAATGTATGCGTTGTTTTGAGAGGAAAATGTAAGCAAGATATTCAACATTTAACCATTTACTGTTTTTCTCTTGTAGTCTGATGTTTGGGCTTTGGGATGCTGTGTCTATGAAATTGCCACCCTGAAGCACGCTTTTAATGCAAAAGACATGAATTCCTTAGTTTATCGGATTATTGAAGGAAAGGTAAAAAAATAATTTAGAACTAATTGGACAAGGTTTATATAATACAGCTTTGTAAATTTCTGTTGTCAAAATCATTGAATTTTTTTCAGTGCTGGAGTCCAACCCAGGGCAAATGTAGAGCAAGCACTCTGTCACTGAGTTACGTCCCCAGCCCTCACAAATGATTTTGATTAGTTGACTAATATTCATTGTTACCAGCTGAATAATTAGGAATATATTATCTCTTCTGTGGAAAAGTTAAGTAGAAGTGTTTGGTTTTCTCTTAATGTTAATATATAAAAGTAGCTGATTGGCTCCAAAGAGCTGGCAGCTTGAAAACTTCTCCCTGTGACTGACTGCAGGGTGTACTGGTACTCTGAGAGGCAATAGGTGCTATCTCCCAATAGCCCATAGTTGAGTGAGCCCTTTACAGGAATCCATGCTGTTAGAATGTACTCTTTACATACTTGCAAGTAACTGATTAAGAACTACAAAAGGTATCAAACATGATGTAGATAACTGACTTCATGTTATTTCCCTGAGGCTGGTTGCAGCCTTTGCTATTACTTAAAGATTATCCAAAGATTCACTGAAAAATATTTTTTAAAGTACACAAGTAAAATCTTCCAATTGTAGGAGCAGAAGAGATGGCTCATTGCTTAAGAATGCTATTTCTCACCCACATAGCCACACTCAGCCGTCTGGAATTGCAGACCCTAGGACACTGGTGCCCTCTTCCAGCCTCTGCTGGCACTGTGCTTGTGGTGCACAGACATACATGCAGGCAAACACCCATACACATAAAATGAAAATAGAAACTTTAAAATTGTTTCCAATCATACTATTTAAATAATTCAGTTTTAAAAGGGAATAAAAATTTCTCTGTTTTCATCTTCTTGATAACTACTATTAGAAATTTATTCCAAGGCCTGTTTTTTTTCTTTCTTTGAAACAGATATGGCTCTGGGTGTATATGTATTTATACACAAGTACTCTAAACAAGAAACAGATGCAGTCTCACTGTACACAGTGATGGGGCCCAGCCTACATTTTTGGCTTAGCTGTCAGTACTTGTCTTTTACTTTTAAGCAGCTGCCCAGTGTTTTATGAGGAGAATATTGTTGTGAAGAGACACCATGACCACGACAACTCTTATAAAGAAAACATTTAATTGTGGTGGCTCACTGTGGTTTCAGAGGTTCAGTCCATTATCATCATGGTGGGGAGCATTGCAGTGTGCAGACAGATGTGTTGCTGGCTACATCATGGCTTGAAGGCAACAGGAATTTGATGGAGACCCTGGTTGGTATCCTGAACATAGGAACCCTCAAAGCCTGCCCCCCACAGTGACAGGCTTCTTCCAACAAGGCCATACCCACTCCAACAAAGCCACAATTCCTAATAGTGCCACTCCCTATGAGATTATAGGTGCCAATTACATTCAAATTAACACAGTACCATGATTTACTCCTAAGTCCTGTGTCCTTGAACACTTTATTTCTAGTTACTGACTACTACAAGACCAATACTGCACTGAATATTCTGGTATATGAATCTTATCTGTGCCCTTGGACCAACGAAATAGTTTAATGAGTAAAGATGCTTGCAGCACAAGCCTGATGAGCTGAGTTTGATCCCAGAACCCATGGTGGGAGGAGAGAACCAACTCTCAAAAGTTGTTCTCTAGCTTGAATGTGTGCATGCTCATTAATGTAAACATGTTTACATGCTAATAATAAACAAAATTTAGAAAAAGAAACTTGTGTTCCTTTCTGAAGGACAGTCCTCAAATGGGACTGCTAAGCTGAAGGGAATACTATTGTAGTCTTATAACTTGTTATTATAACCAGAAAAGACACTTCTTACTGCTAGCTGTTTTCTACTTTTGTGGATATATAACTTTAAATAAACTTTAAATAAATAAATATTAATATTTTATGTGTTGTAATGACTTTTAAGTATTGGGAAATCCCTGCCAGTTTTTACTTTGTTTTATAATGTCATTAATCATAATTACAGTGTCATTATTCTTCGTAGTTGCCACCAATGCCAAAAGTTTATAGCCCAGAGCTGGCAGAGCTGATACGAACAATGCTGAGCAGGAGGCCTGAAGAAAGACCCTCTGTGCGAAGCATCCTGAGGCAGCCTTATATAAAACACCAAATCTCCTTATTTTTGGAGGCCACAAAAGCGTAAGATACTTCCCTTACAGAAAGCTTTGATACACTGACGGGGCAAGAGAGGGTGGCTTCTAAATTTTCATGTGTAAAAATTTATGGTGAGGTTCTTTTTTGTTTTGTTTTGTTTTTAACAAAAAATAAAACTGCATGATTAGAATATGTAAGAAGACAAAATTCTACTCTCTTGGTGGTTTTTTGGCCTAGGCGTCAGAATTTAACTTATATAAAAAAGTAACAATTTTTTTTAAATAAAAGTTTTATGTTTCTTAGCCAGGCAGTGGTGACTCACACCTTTAATCCCAGCACTTGGGAGGCAGAGACAGGCTGATCTCAGTGAGTTTCAGGCAGCCTGGTCTACAGAGTGAGATACAGGACAGCCAAGACTATTACACAGAGAAACCCTTTGCAAAAGGGTTTTTAGGCAAAAGTTAGAGAAAACATTCCATTATCTATCCTATCTTAGTCCAGAGTTTTATACCTAAACCATTTTTTGTCATAACTTGTATTACCATCCTAAAAGTATCTTTTTAGACCTTAAAACATCTTTTTAAATAAACAAGCTTTTATGTTTCTCAACCTTATAAATGTTGCATCTCTTACGTAAGTTTCTTTTCTGAATTTGGTAGTAAAGAAAATTGTAAAACTATAACTCTCTAGTCTTCAATCCCAAAAGAGACCCAAGAAGGATAAATATTACTTGAGTAAACAGGAAGTGCAGAGTAAACAACTTCCAAAAGTAAGAAACAGCAGGGACATCTGGCTTCCTGGACAGTCACCCCAAGGTTCCTCTGTAACATTGGGGCATCCATCTTCGTTTGAACTACAGGTCTACACTATCTGACAGACTTTTCTGTAAAGCAGGAATTTTGAAGGACTGTCCTACCTTGTCTTGTCAAAATTCAGCAGTAGCTTTCTTTTGTGTCCTGCTTGTCCAGTTTGGACAGCATACTGTCCACAATTGAGGCAAGGGCAGTTTCTTTGCCCAGTGGCTAGCTTTTGCCATAGAGAAAGCAATGCCACATAGTGGGTTGTTCTTTTTAGAAGAAAATTGGTGCTGCCAGGAGCAGACGTGTCTCACTGTCAAAGCCTTATGTCAGTAAAAACATTTTGAATGCCATATTAAAGTCTTTGAAGTGTTTGAAGATCTATATAAAATATATCTTTGTATGACCTTGAAAATCATACCTAACATGACTATAAGTTTGATTATTGTAGTTGACTAATTATTAATCTGTATGTCTTTATTATTCTAAATAGCTTTCAAGGACTAAATCTTTACATTTTTAAATTAGCTGTATAGGTACAATATCTTAAACAAGAATAGAAACATATATCTAGGGGCTAGAGAAATGGCTCAGTGGTTAAGAGTACTTGGCTGCTCTTCCAGAGGACTTGGGTTCAATTCCCAGCACCCACATGGCAGCTCACAACTATTTGTAACTCTGGTTCTGACACCAATGCACATGAAGTTAAATAAATTTTTTTTTTTTTTTCGAGACAGGGGTTCTCTGTATAAATATTTTTTTATAAAAAAAGAAACATATATCCAGTATAACAAAAATAACCTTAAATTTGTATCAGTATACAAAAATTCGTTAAACAAGAGCAGAAACATACATACAGAAAAAAAACCCTTACATTTTGATCAATATAGGAAAATCCGTACCAATGTAAAATATTTAAGACTTAGTAGTTGCTTTTTAATTTAAAAGTAGATTCAATAATCTATTCTTTTTATCCTGTCATTTCTATATTGTATCCCCCCTTTTCCCATCAGAAAGGGATGTCTAGATCTAATCTCCTTAGTTCAGCTTTTTTTCTGACTATGACCAATAACAACTTGTAACCAAACTCCCTAAAGGATGACAAACATCCATAACCCATTGAATGACCAAAAACCATCCACCCCACCTCTTGGGAATGTGGGTGTGACTTTCTCTAGACTGTTTCCTGTTGTCTGGGGGTAATGACATCCTTATGGAACCTGAGGAAACTGAGGAACTAGCCATAATATTTGTTTTTCAGTTTCTGTGCAATGGGAAAGAACACAATATATTTGTAGTCCTGGTTAGAGTAACCTGTGAGGCTGGATTATCTCAGTCAGTAGCCTTGAAGCTATTCTGGATGTAGAACTCTGAGGAAACTGTAACAGAGGCACTCCGAGAGGCTGCATGACCTGGGCCACCTGTTTTTATTGGTGTCTGGTCCATTGCTCTGAAAATACAAACTTTCAAGGGTATCATAAATATCTACATTAACACAAGTATGGAATGTGCATTGTACACAAGCTAGCCAAAGATTTTTTGTTTTATGTTTGAGCAGGTAAAATATATGTTGCCTCTCTTGTAGTTTTTCTAGGTTTATTTTTTTATGTTTGTAGCTAGGATTTTCAGGGGTTTCAGGATTTCAGGGTTGATCTCTATCAACCTTGAGTGAATTCATAGTCTTTTGTTTTCTGTGGAAACAAAAGCATAACTTCCTCCCCAATGCAACATATTTTTGACTATCATTTTGTCGTTAAGACATTTTAAAAAATATATAGATTAGTTTAATTTAGCAGTTTCCATAATCCAATGTCTCTCAGCAGTTATTGATCAGTCATCAGCAATCAAATCAAAAAGTTTAAAATCAACAAGACACCATGTAAGATCCAGACTCTCTATGTATTTCCCATCTTTACATGGCTAATCCTTTTTATTTTATTTTATTTTCTCTTTAAAGACTTATTTTTAAGCTACTTTTTATGACTGTCTACACTTTTTTAATTTTCTTCTCTGGACTTTGCTTTACTTGGTGCCTGTAACGTTCTCTGACTACATGAATCAAACCTTAAACCTACCAGGCAGTTTAGTTCATGGCATGCTGGTGGCTTAAGCCTACAGGCAGTGGCCAGGGACTCTGTACAACGTGGTCTTCCTGAGAGACTGGGGACCTAGGAAGCCACATCTGACTCTGTGTTTGTGTTTTCAGAACTTTTCTTTTTAAACTTCCTCAGGTCCTATGTGGAAATATGTGCCTCACATTGGGTGCCATATGTTGACAGATTTTTTTTTGGTCCGCCAGCTGGAAAAAATGACATGGAGACATAGTATTAATTACGAAAGCTAGGCCTATAGCTTAAGCTTGTCCCACTATCTCTTATAACTTAAATTAACCTATTTCTGTTCATCTACATGTTGCCATGTGACGAGAGGTTTTTACCTCTCCTCCTACATGTCTTGCTCTTATGCTTCTGGCTTTGACTCCTCCTTTCTTCTTCCCAGAGCTCTGTGTCCCCAGAAGTCCTGACTAACCTCTTCCTGCCTAGCTAATGGCCATTCAGTTCTTTATTAAACCCGTCATCTTTACAAAATATAAAGGAATATTCCACAACATGTCCTAAAATTAAAAATGGGTTGGGCATTTAGCTCAGTGGAGTGCTTGCCTTGTGTGTGTAAGGCCCTGAATTTAAATCCCAGTAGAAACAAACCACAAGAAATATTAAAATTTGCCTAAGTGTTGAAATAAAAAATCTAGAGAACCATATAGAGGGGTTGGTGAGGCAGCTTAGCAGGTAAAGATATTTGCCACCAATCCTGAGAACTTCAGTTTGGTCCCCAGATCCACATAATGGAAAGAGAGCCAGCTCCTACAAGCTAATCTCCACTTGTATGCATGCAAAGACATGAACATATGTGATATTTTTTAACCATTTAGAGAGCTACTGTTAATTATTCACCCTGTAAGGAAAGGTCATATATGAAAAATGGTGCTCAAATTTCTGAATATTCAAAGGTTTTCTCTTTATTCATTTAACTTTTCAAGAAAAAAGGAATTCCCTTTTTGACCACAGGTCTTACTTTTAGCAAACTGATATTTCAGTATCTAAGACTTAGGGTTGGACATGACTGACACTATCTTAATAGCTTACTTCTGCCTATGGCAAGATAAGTTTGGGAGGAGAGGAGGCAATGTTAGAGATGATGAGGGGATGAACATTTTTTTCCCTTTTGAGACAAGGTCTTACTGTGCAGCCCAGAAACTGGACTCTTAGTATCATCCTGCTTCAGTGTCCCAAGTGCTGGAATTACAGACACGTACCACACTCCAGCTCAGTACTGCCTTTTTTCTACGTTTTTGTTTGTTTGTTTTTTGCAACAGGGTTTCTCTGGTGTAGCTTTGACTGTCCTGCAACTCACTATGTAGACCAGACTGGCCTTGAACTCACAGAGATCTGCCTGGGATTAAAGATGGGTGCCACCACCTCCCAGATTGTTCTCATCACTTTTAATTGGCCTTCTGTTACTTAGATCTGCATGCTTTTCTGAGTGAGATTCAGCCCAGTCTTAGAAACAGCATGTTAAGCAGATAAGGTGCTATTTCTGTACACATTTACTCTGCAAGTTAGAGAATATAACCAATTATTTTTACTCTGAAAGTTTACAAAATAAAAGTGATATTATAGTATTGTAAACATGTGAAACCTAAAAGAGGAAAATCCTGATACTTCTGTGTGAGCGACTTTCTCATAGAAATTTTGGAATTTTGTATTTATAGGATGTTATAAAAATATTATAGGCCGGGTGTTGGTGGCATATGCCTTTAATCCCAGCACTTGGGAGGCAGAGGCCGGTGGATTTCTGAGTTCAAGGCCAGCTTGCTCTACAAAGTGAGTTCCAGGACAGGCTCCAAAGCTACACAGAGAAACCCTGTCTCAAAAAACCAAAAAAAAAAAAAAAAAAAAAGTATAAAGTTCTTCTATACCCCTCATCTAGTTCTTTCTGTCATTAGCATCTTAGATTATTATCATGGGGCATTTGTCAAAACTAAGAAACCAGGACTGTTGATCTGATTTAACAAGTAAAGGTGTTTTCCAATAAGCCTGCTGACCTAAGTTCAGTTCCTGGGACACACATGGTAGAAGTAGAGCACTAACTCACAAGATGTCTTCTGATCACATATATGTATTTGTATGTGTTCTCACATATGCACACACTCACATGCATACAATAAATAAATAAATAATATGATTTAAAAGGTTGTTTTAAAAGTAAGAAACCAGTTCTGGGTGTGATGGTGCACACCCTTAATCTCGGAATTCAGGAAGCAGAGGCATGAGGATTTTTGTGAGTTCCAGGTCAGCCTGGTCTTCAAGTTCCAGGACATCTAGAGCTACACAGGGAGACTGTTTCAAAACAAAACAGAAATCTAAGTCAACTGGTATATTACTGTTGACTAACCTCAGACTTTCATTGGTTTTTGCTAATTTTTCCACTTCATGTGCCAGGATTCAATCCAAGATACAATATCCCATTTAGTTCTCACATCTCTTCAGCCTCCTTAACCTCCTCTGGGTCCCTGATTGCTTTCTTGTTTCTTACAATCTCGATTATCTTGAAGACAAATGTTTTAGAAAATGCTCTCTATGTTTTGACAAGACTAATCTCTGTAAAACAATGTAATTGTATTGTAGATACAAATTTCACATGCCCTTTCAAACTATCAATCATCACCATGTTGCTAATATTATTTTATTTTCTTCCCTATAAAGAAAAACTTCCAAAAATAATGTTAAAAATGGTGACTCCCTAACCAAGCCTGTTGCTGCCGTAGTTTCCAGAAAGGAAGAATCAAATCATGAAGTGATACACTACCGGCCATGCCCTTCTGAGGGCTCCACTACACACGACACGGTATGTTCCCTGTGGTAATGCTTTAGGGACTGTAGAACAACAGGTTATTCAAGTGAACAATTTTATGTGTCAGTGACTATGCTTTTCTAGAGATTCCTTATACTCTTACTTCTGATTTTAAAGAAAGCATACTGGTGAAGGTCAGTCTTTTTTCTCACTTTATCTACCATAGACTGTCAAACTGTTAAAGTCAATACAATTATTTTATCCTTTAAAAATGAAATTTACATTAAAAACTATTTTAAAATATTTTATTCCCTTGTGTGTGTGTGTGTGTGTGTGTGTGTGTGTGTGTATCTATATGAATGTATTCTGATATGTGTGAGAGTGTGACATCTGTGTTTATGGAGGCCAGAGAGGGCACTGAAGTTACAGGCATGTTTTCGATGCCTGGCTTGGTATGTGGGTTTTGGGATGCAAACTGTGTTCCTCACTATTGCACAGCTAGCATTAACTTCAGAGCCATCTCTGCAGCCCCACAGAAGCCCACATAGTGTGGACAATCATGGGCAGTTAGCACACTCACAAATTGCAATTATCACTTCTTTTCTAGTTCCATATTTTTTTTTCATCATCAAAAGGAAGCTCTTTACACATTTAGTTGTCACTCTTTATAGCCTCCTCTACCTTGCCAAACACTAATGTGTTTTTTGTCTCTTTGAATTTCCCTTTCCTGAATATTTCATATAAATGAAATCATATAGCAGGTGGCCTTTTATGTCTGAGTTATGTTTTTAAGGTTTATCTACTCATCCATCGGTAAACATTTGGGTTCTTTTCACCTGTAGGGTCTTGCTGTAAACGTTTAGGACCAGTGCTTGAGTACCTGTTTGCAGTTTTTTGGACTGTCTGCCTGTGTATAAATGCTAAATCAAGTGATAATTCTGTTTAACCTCTTGAGGACCACAGAGTTGCCCACAGCAACTATATTATTCTCCATTTCTAATTTCATGTTCTCACCAACAAATATTACTTCCTGTCTTATTGGTTCCATTTTTATTAGTAAATATTAATACAATAATGTCAGCCAGGCATGGTGGCACATACCTTTAATCCTAGCACTTGGGAGGCAGACGCAGGCAGATTTCTGTGAGTTCAAGGACAGCCTGGTCTTACTGAATGAATTCCAGGACAGCCAGGACTACACAGAGAAACCTTGTCTCAGAAAAAACAACAAAAACACAAAATTTTGTTAAATTCATTTATTAGTTCCAATAAGTAGATGTGTGTGTGTGTAATCTTTAGGGCTTTTACATATAAAATCATATTGCGTATAGATAGATAATTTTATATCTTCTTTTAATGCAGATGCCTCGTTTCTTTGTTCTTGTTTAAATGTTCTGGCTACAACATAAAGTATTATGGTGAGTGAAAGCACTGAGAGTGGGCAGTTTCACTGTTTCTGATTTTTAAGGGAAGGCTTTTAGAATTTTGTCACTAAGTATAGTGTGCAGTTTAGATTTTCCACACATAGCTTTACTATGTTAAGATAGTTTGCTCTAGTACAATTTGTTTTTCCACATCATTTGTGGGAATTGAATTTTGTCAGAGGATTTTTTCTACATCTATTGAGATGATCATGTGCTTTTTTTCTTCATTTTTAAACACCCTCCCCACCAGTGCTAGGGTTTTCACCCACAACCTTGTGCATGGTAGACAGAGGCTTTATCTCTGAACTGTATGCCCAGACCTTGAAAAACATTTCTTTGCATTTATTTATTTATTTGTTTGGTTATTCATTCATTTATTTTGGTGTATGTGTATGTGTGTGTGCATGTGTGTGAGAGAGACAGAGACAGACAGAAATTGGGAGGGAGAACTTTCAGAAGTGTGCTATCTTTCCACCTTGTGTGTTCTAGAGGGTCATACTCAGGTCACATCAGACTTAGCAGCAAATGCTCTTGCATGATGAACCATCTTTTTTTAAATATTTTTTTATTTACATTAGAAACAATTTTATTTTACATATCAGTCCCACTTCCCTCTCCCTTCCATCCTCCCATGCTCCCCACTGACTCCCCAGGGAGAGTGAGGCCTTCCTTGGGGGAATCATCAAAGTCAGTCATATCATTTGGGGCCTAGTCTCCCCCCCACTCCCCTACCCCCATGTATTTAGGCTGAGAGAGTATCCCTCCATGGGGGAATGGGCTCCCAAAGTCCATTCATGCACTAGGGATAAATACTGGTTCCACCTCCAGAGGCCCCATAGACGCCCAGACCCCACAACTGACACCCACATTCAGGGGGCCTGGTTTGGTCCTATGTTGGTCCCCCACTGATGAACCATTTTGAAACTCTATATTTTAACAACTTTTTTGTTTTTGTTTTTGTTTTTTGTTCTGTTTTTCGAGACAGGGTTTCTCTGTGGCTTTGGAGGCTGTCCTGGAACTAGCTCTTGAAGACCAGGCTGGTCTTGAACTCACAGAGATCCACCTGCCTCTGCCTCCCAAGTGCTGAGATTAAAGATGTGCAACACCACCACCCGGCTTTAATAAGCATGTTGTTCAGTGCCCTTGATTATTTATATTCAGTGTCGTGATACAGCCATCATCACTATCCTCAAAAATTCTTCCATCATACAGAACTGAAACTCCTTGCTCATTAAGCTGTAACTCACTATGCCCCATCTCCAGAGCCTATAAACCTCTATCTGTTTTCTATATCAATGAATTTTCCTGCTTTAGACAATTTAGATTAATAGAATATGTAACACCAAAAATAAAAGACCCAGTGACAGATACTGGGGTTTAAGCTTCAAGCTGAAGATCAGAGATGCTAAATAGTGAGCCACTCTTACTGATACCTCAGGCTGAATGGGCTGATCCTGCTGCCTCTCCTCAGCGTGGCTGGAGAATCCTGACTCTAAATGTCTTCCTAGCCTCAATGTGGCTGGAGAATGAATGTTTGATACTATCTTTTATACCCACTCTAGTGTTGGGATTAAAAGTGTGTGATCCTCAGTGCTGAGATCATCTTTGTGTGAGCTGTTTTTCTTTAGGCCTTGGACTCACAGAGATGCATCTATCTCTTAATCTGAGACCTAGGAATAAAGGTGTGTACTACCACTTCCTAGCTTTGGGCTGCTGGGATTAAAGGTGTGTATCACCACTGCCTGATCTCTATAGCTTGAGGCTGACTTTGTTTTCTGAATGCTTGGGCAATCTTTAATAAATCATAAATAATATATCACCACAAGAATAATACATATGTTATGCCTTCCCTTCCCTTTAAAAAGTTTGTGTTTGTGTGTGAGTATATGCCATGTGTGGGCGCTCACAGAAGCTGTATTATGTATATACTACATTTTATCCTTTGGCTTGCTAATGAACATTTGGGTTGTTTCTACCTCTTTCTTCTTTCATTTCTTTTCTCTGTTATGTAGCTCTGACTCTCCTGGAGCTCGTATGCAGAACTGGTAGAGGTCTACCTGCCTACCACATCCTGCTTCTTTTTTTTTTTTTTTTTTTTTTTTTTTTTTTTTTTTTTTTTGGTTTTTTGAGACAGGGTTTCTCTGTGGCTTTGGAGGCTGTCCTGGAACTAGCTCTTGTAGTCCAGGCTGGTCTCGAACTCACAGAGATCCGTCTGCCTCTACCTCCCAAGTGCTGGGATTAAAGGCGTGCGCCACCACCGCCCGACTCATCTGCTTCTTTCTTTTTAAAAATAGTCTTGCTATATAGCCCTGGGTAGCTTGGAACTCACTATGTCCTCAAGCTGGCCCCAATCATGATGGTCCTCCTGTTTTTGTCTGCCACCTCAGGTGCTGGGATTACAGATTTGTGCCACTATGCACATCCTGTTTTGTTTTTTGTTTTTCGAGACAGGGTTTCTCTGTGGCTTTGGAGGCTATCCTGGAACTAGCTCTTGTAGACCAGGCTGGTCTTGAACTCACAGAGATCCTCCTGCCTCTGCCTCCCCAGTGCTGGGATAAAAGGCGTGCACCACCAACGCTGGGCATGAACACCCCCCCCCTTTTTTTTTTTTAAAGATTTTATTTATTATGTATACAACATTCTGCTTCTGTGTATATCTGCACACCAGAAGAGGGCACCAGATCTCATAATGGATGGTTGTGAGCCACCATGTGGTTGCTGGGAATTGAACTCAGGACCTCTGGAAGAGCAGTCGGCACTCTTAACCTCTGAGCCATCTCTCCAGCCCCCATGAACACCCTTTTTTAATAATGATGCTGAATCATTGGCCCACATGCCTGCTTGAGTTCCTTCTTTTATTATTTTAAAGTGTGTGCCATGGTGCTGGGGAGATTTCTCAGTGTTTAAAAGCACTGGCTGTTTTTCCAAGGACCTGTGTTCAGTTCCCAGCACCCACATGGCAGCTCACACCTGTCTGTAACTCCAGTTCCAAGGATTCGGGCGAAACACCAATGATCATAAAATTTAAAAAAAAAGTAAATATAAAGTGCATATCAAAAAGTAGAATTGCTGAATTAAATGGTAATTCTATGTTTAACTTTTTTAGGAACCTGCTATTCCATTTTGAATTAATTTTTGTATGTGGTATGAGGTACTATAATAACTTTAGAACAAGGGCTGGAGAGATGGCTCAGAGGTTAAGAGCACTGACTGCTCTTCCAGGGGTCCTGAGTTCAATTCCCAGAAACCACACAGTGGCTCACAATCATCTGTAATAAAAATCTGGTGCCCTCTTCCAGCCTGCAGGCATACATGCAGGCAGAGCATTGTATGCATAATAAATAAAATCTTCAAAAAAAAAATAACTTCAGAACATCTTTTCATCCAGGGTGAAGATAAGTGTTTGTCCCAAGAGAAACCAGTGACCATTGGTCCCTTGAAATCACCTGCTGGCCTCAAAGGCCACACTGACAAACCAGACATGAACAATTCTGCAGAGTCATTTGCCACAATCAGTAGGATAAATATCGATATCTTACCTGTAGAAAGGAGGGACTCAGCAAATAATGGTGTCGCTCGGGAGAATCAACCAAAACACTTGGCTGCCACTAATGAATTAGACAGTCAATATGGTATCTCTCAAGACAAGAAGGAGAGGCTACAGGGTGATGGCAAGTCCAGTGATCAGCCTGAAAATCTGCTTCCCAGCTGGTCCTCTGATTATGGTGATGGAGAAGGGAATGAGCCAGTGAAGCCATTGCAGCCCCCAAATAAAGACCAAAAGCCCAAACAGGTGAGTGATACACAGAAGGAGTGGTTTTCAGAGAGAGAGAGAAAATAGCAAGTATGGTTATAAAGTTGTAGGTATGGGGCTGGAGATGGTTCAGCTCTTGCAGTGGGCCTGGGCTTGACTCCCAGCAACCTCATGGTGGCTCACAACCACCCACAACTCCAGTTCCAGGAGATCCTCCACAAGCACTAGCATGCATGTAGTATACATACAAATATGGAGACAAAATTCTCATACCTATGAAATGAATTAATCAATCAATAAATCTTAACTTTTTAATTATTAATAAAACCCAAAGATATAGATATGCCAGTTGTTTGTTGTGCAAGTTTAAACTAGAGGCATGTTTTCATCACCTATTAAAAAGAACAACAATATAGTGTGTGTGTGTGTGTGTGTGTGTGTGTGTGTGTGTGTGTGTGTATCACAGACACCATGGCCTGGGTGTAGATACCAGAGGATAACTTTATAGAATCAATTCTGACCCTTTTTTTGTCTTCTTTGTTTTTTTTTTTTTTTTTTTTTTTTTTTTTTTTTTTTTTTGAAGCAGAGTTTCTCTGTAGCTTTGGAGCCTGTCCTGGAACTCACTCTGTAGACCAGGCTGGTCTCGAACTCACAGAGATCCACCTGTCTCTATCTCCTGAGTGTTGGGATTAAAGGCGTGCGCCACCACCCCTGGCAATTGTATGAATTCTGACTTTTAAGTGGGTTCAAGGCATCAAAATCAGATCATTATTCTTTCACGGCAGAGCTTTTATTCACTTAGCCACCTCACTGTACCTATGTTTAACTTTAAAAATGTTTATGTGTGTGGCTGTTTTGTCTGTCTGTATGTATGTCTGTGCACCACTTTTGTTGCTTGTGGAGGCCAGAAGATAGCATCAGATCCCCTGGAACTGGGGTTTATAGCTGGTTGTGAGCTACAGTGTGGGTGTTGGGAGTTGAACCTGGGTCCTCTGGAAGAGTAGCCAGTGTTCTTAACAGCTGAGCCATCTCTCTAGTACCCCTGCCATGTTTAGGCACTTTCTAAGAAAGTGCAATGCTGTAGAGCAGCTGTAGTCATTTGCTTCCCAGTAGTGATATATGAGGGTCCTATTCCAGAATTTTTGTCAAGACTTGTTATTGTCCATCTTTTTTTTTTAATATTGTGACCAAACACTGTGCTTCATACATGCTAAGTAAAGTCCTTTACTACTGTTATACATCCCCAGCCTTGTTGTCTTTTCCCCAGTGTTGTTTTTCTGTCAGCACAGAGGCTGTGCTTTAATCTGCTGCTGTTTAAGCTAGCAATTGTGGCTCCACAGTTACTGGCCTGCTTCTCTTGCAGCAGCCTGGTGGCTCAGGCTGAGGCTTCCTGGGAGTTCTGTTTCCACAGGCACCGACTATGTCACTACTGCCGAATATAGCTTTTAATTAAATCTCTATCATCCTATTTACCAGTAAGAATTGGGAGTCAAAGGCTGGGGGGTGAAAACCTGCTAGCTCAGAGAGGTTGAGTAGAAATGATCTGACCCTCTCTCTTTGTCAGTGTCTTCAAAAGAGAGCATCTTTCCCCTCTGCCAAAACAAAAACAAACAAACAAAACAACCCACACCAAAGTCCCTCCTTACTGCTTTCTGCATATCTCTCTATTGTCTTAGTCAGGCACCCTCTGACTCTCTATGATTACTTTCTGTCAACTAGTTGCTAACTTGGCCTCCTGACCCAAGGCTGATTTTATTAATGCAAATGCAAACTCAGGGTTCATGTTGTGATCGAATATTCTGCAACATTTCCCTCTTATTGTCTAAATAAAAAGGAAAGGTTTTAATTCTAACACAGTAAAACTGTATACAATAAGAACAATTATTAAGTAAGGATTACATTCACAATGTCTAGTCCATTTGTATTCGGCAAATTCAGAGAAATTACTCTATTATCTATTCTATCTTGATGAGTCCAAAGTTTTATACCTAAAGCATTTTCTATCATAACTTGTATTACCATTCTAAAAATATCTTTTTAGACCCTAAAACATTTTCTTAGATAAACAACTGAAACTTTTATATGTGTCAGCTTATAAACTTTACATCTATTTTGTAAGTTTCTTTTCTGAATTTGGTAACAAAGAAAATGGCATAACCACCTAGCCTTCAACCTAAGTAAACAGGAAGTGCAGAGCAAACAACTTCCCAAACTGTAGAAATGACTGAGACATCTAGCTGCCTGGACAGTCACCCAAGTTTCCTCAGCAATGCTGGGCCATCCATCTTTGGCCTATGGGCCTAGAATATCTGACAGACTTTTCTGTGAAGCAGAAATTTTGAAGGACTGTCCTTCCTTATCTTGGCAAAGTTCTGTAGTCACCTTCTTTTGTGTCCTTCTTACCCAATTTTGACAGCTTTTGTCAGCAGTCAAGACAAGGGCAGTTTTTTCCCCAATGGTTAGCTTTGCCACATAGATAGCTAACTCCATATGGGGGTTCTTTGATGCCCATCATCTTCATTGAAGTAGATTGGTGCCAGGACTAGATGTATCTCACTGTCATGAAAAGCCTTATGTTATTAAAACATTTTGAATGCCATATTCTGTAGATCTCTGAGATCTAAACAAGAGTATGAACATATATACAGTATGTTATAACAAAAATAATCTTAAATTTGTATCAGTATACAAAAATCCATACCAATGTAAAATGTTTGAGGTTAATAGTTGCTTTTTAGTTTAAAAGTAGATTCAGTAATCTACCCTTTTATCCTCTCATTCCTATATCCCCCTTTTTCTTTTCAGAAAGAGACCCTTGAATGCAACCTACCTTACTTAATTTTTTCTCTGACCATGACCAGTAACAACTTGCAACCAGCCCCCTTAAATGATGACAAACATTCATCACTCACTGATTGACCAAAAACCATGCACTCCACTTCTTGGGAATGTGGGCATCATGTTCTCTAGATTGCTTCCCATTGTCTGGGGGTGACAGCCTGTTTAGGGGACCCTGAAAAAATTGGGAAAATGGTCAAGTCTTGGGAGAGCTAGCTGTATTATATTTTGTTTAGTCTCTATGTGATGGGAAAGTGTAGCTCTTATCTGAAGTCCTGGCTGTAGTATTATAAGGCTGGTCCCTCTTAAGTAACAGCTTTGAACTTGTTCTGGATGAGGAATTTTGAAGGAATTGCAACAGAGGCATTCTTAGAGATTGGATCACCAGGGCTACTTCATTGGTGTCTGATTTTTTTTTTTTTTTTGAAAACACAAACTTTTTTTCTTTAAGACAGAGTTTCTCTGTGTACCAATCCTGGATGTCCTGAACTAACTCTGTAGACCAGGCTGGCCTCAAACTCACAGAGATCCACCTGCCTCTGCCTCCCGAGTGCTGGGATTAAAGGTGTGTGACACCACCACCCAGCAATTAACATTTTTTAACTGCTTAACTATCTCTCTGGTACTTCATTTTGCAATTTCATAAGTAGGTATGGAGAGTTTGGCATTTAAAATTATAACTGTTCTGCTACTCTGTGCAGTTCTTTTATATATGTTTCTTTCCTTTTTTTTTTTTTTTCCTTTTAAGGATCAAGTTACCAGTGGATGTAGGATAGAAAAACAGGACAGCATCCAGCCAAGATTCCAGCCACACAGCTCTGTGTCTGAACCTTCTGTGTCTCGGCAGCGAAGGCAGAAAAGGAAAGAACAGACTGACCGTGGTCAGGCAAAGAGTCAGGTAAGCAGTCTCTTTGCAGTATCATTGTGCTGCTTGGGAGGCAGGATCCAGTAAGCTTGACTTTTGTCTAGAATGATTAACAGTTGCCAAAGGTTCAGAAGAAACGCAAAGAATGGAACGAGAAGCTGGGCAAGGATAAGATGCTTAATACTAGTTTTCAAGTGTCAGTGAGTTGGAAATATAGAGGAAATGAGTGGGTCATTTTGAAAGTTAAAGGAAAAGGCTGTTTGGTTCCTTGTGTTATGTTGCTGAACATGTATTTTCTTTTTACAAATTGTCTTGACCATATATTTTTTTCTATGCAGTGCTGGAAAATGAACCCAGGGTCTTGTGCATACTACATAAGCACTCTCTGCCTCTGAGCTGAATTCCTAGCCCTCAATACAGCCTTTATTAAAATATCTTCCACTGGGTGGTACAGGCCTTTAATTCCAGCACTCGGGAGGCGGGAGGCAGGGCAGGCGGATCTCTGTGAGTTCGAGGCCAGCCTGGTCTACAAGAGCTAGTTTCAGAACAGGCTCCAAAGCTATACAGGAAAAAAAAAAAAAAAAAAAAAAAAAAAAAAAAAAAAAAAATTTTCTAGCATTGGAGGCTGGAAAGATGGCTCAGTGGTTAAGAACATTGTTCCAGTTCTTCCAGAGGTCCTGAGTTCAATTCCCAGCAACCACACGGTGGCTCAAACAGGCTCCAAAGCTATACAGGAAAAAAAAAAAAAAAAAAAAAAAAAAAAAAAAAAAAAAACTTTCATTGGAGGCTGGAAAGATGGCTCAGTGGTTAAGAACATTGTTCCAGTTCTTCCAGAGGTCCTGAGTTCAATTCCCAGCAACCACACGGTGGCTCACAACTATTTATAGTGGGATTTGATGCCCTCTTTGGGCATGGGGGTATACATGCAGATAGAACACCATATACATAAAATAAATAAATCTTAAAAAAGAAGCCATGTCTTAAAACATGTATATGCATGTATATGCACATATGTATCCATATGGATATATATGGTACATACATATATGTATATATGACTATATGTATATGAATATATACATTCATATATCTTTTCCCTAAGCTTCTTAGGTAGTCATTCCCTTTTGTCAGTCTCTGTAGCACAGGCAGGTCTTGAAACTGTGATTTTCTTACCTTTGCCTTTCAGGTAGCTGGGATTATGGCCTGCACAAATAGGCCTGGCTTTTTAAAATGTTGATATATCTTAATTGGTAGAGTGCTGTGGTAATATCTTATTTGTGATCTAACAAATAAAGCTTGCCTGAAGATCAGAGTGCAAAGCTAGCCACACTAGTTGGCCATAGAGGCCAGGCAATGGGGGCACACACCTTTAATCCTAGCACTCAAGAGACAGAGGCAGAACGATCAGATCTCTGTTAGTTCAAGGCCACCCCAGGCTACATGAAATTGATCCAGTCTAAACGAGAAACAGAGCCCACACATAGGTGATCCCAGCACTAAGGAGGTGGAGACAGGAAGGGATACGACTGGGTGGAGGAATATAAGGAAGGAGGAGACAGGAGCTAATGGCAATCTGGCAGCAGTCAGAGGAGCAATGCAGTCTGAGGCAGTCTGAGGACAGGTTAACCCCTTTGGTTTAAGCTTTGGTAGAGGTGATATTTATGATCTAACAGAGTGCTTATCTGGCATGCATGTAGCCCTGGGTTCAGTTCCCTAGCACCAAGTAAACCAGACATGGTGGCACAAACCTGTGACCCCAAAATTTAGGATGTTTAAATACAATCAGAAATTCATGCTCATCCTTAACTACATATAGACAATTTGAGGACAAACCAATGATGAATGCATAGGGGACTTTCCAATGGGAAGTTTTAGAGATGGCTGTATATGAAACTAATAATATCCCCCCTTTTCATTACTTAAGTTTCAAGAATCACCCCGTCGGCTTTTGCCTTCTCACCCTGATGTTGGAAAAGTGGATATCATATCAACACAACAAAATGATGAAAACCAAGGTAGACCTGTGGCTGGGTCTGTAAACAGTTCAAGGATCAGTTCAACGTCATCATCCAAGGTTTGTATGGAAGTGTGCTGAGTTTAAAAATACTTCTTATAAAGTTTTGGATTATCATTATAGAAGTGACAGATTTGTGCTTTCAAATCATTAGCTTTGACTGTAATGCACATGGTCTGCACTTCCAAAGAGAGCCACCTGCAGTCATTTGAGGAGACCAAGTAGATTCTGAATATGAGAAGTGCAAAAGTATTTTCTTGCTCATCACAAATGAGCATCTTCCAGAAGCCAGGACTGTGATCATTCTTTCATAGCTGTTACCCTTGTATGGACCAAACTCCACATGCAGAGTGGTTTCTGCTCCTTGAGAGACCAGTGGGAAACCTTTATCACTGTTGGATAATATGCCATGCATTGCTACAGGAAAAATGAGTAGAAATAGAAATAACTCGATGACTTTCTTTCAAAGGATCGACCATTATCAGCGAGAGAGAGACGACGATTAAAGCAGTCACAGGAAGAGACGCTCCCCTCAGGTGAAGTAGACATCTTTATCTGGTTGTTGATGACTGGTCAGAAGATTTGTCTCTGGTTGTTAGGTGTACAAACTTGGAAGCAGCAATAGTCCACCTGGGGAAAAGATTTGGAAGAGTTCTTGAAATTTCTTAGATAAGCTTTATAAAATGTTATAGGGTACATATGTATCAGAGACAGAGACAACTATGTATCAGAGACAGAGAACTAAAATGAGAGCCAGGGAGTGGAGAGATGCTCAACAGTTACGACGAGTACTTGCTGCTCTTGCAGAAGACTCAGGTTCAGATCCCAGCACCTACATGGTAGCTCGCAATCATCTTTAACTCCAGTTCCAGGGGATCGACACCCTTTTCTGGCTTCCATGTGACCAGGCACACATGCAGGCAGAAAACTCATACACATAAAATAAGATTTTGAAATCTAAAAATCTTAAACAAATAAAGAAAGAAATAAATTTAAGTGAGAGAGAGAAAGCCAGAGGGTTTTGAACTTTGACATCTCAGGTCGGAAATCAGATGTATGTTTAACTTGGTTTCCCATCCAGACCCTGTTGGTTAAGGGGCTACACTGAGCTAAAGAATGTAGGGGTTTTGGTTTCTTTGTTTTCTGAGACAGGATCTTACTATGGAAGCCTTGCCTGGCCTGGAACTTACTATGTAGACTAGGCTAGTCTTGAACACATAGAGATCCATCTGCCACTGCCTCCTAAGAGTTGGACTTAAAGGTATGTGTTGCTTGGGTCTGTGGATAAATCTGTTTTTAAAATTGTTTTTAGATTTATTTTATATGTATGAATGTTTAACTTGCAAGTATGTATGGATGCAAGACACTTGCATGCCTAGTGCCCATGGAGGTCAGAAGTCATTGACTTACCTGAAACTGGAGTTATGAATGGTTATGAGCTATCATGTGTGTGCTGACAGCAACTCAAGTCTCCATCAAGAGCATGAGGTCCCCTAACTGCTGAGCCATCTCTCCAGCCCCTCTATGGATCATTCTTAGTACCATCATCTAAAAGTTGTGTTCCCAGTTTTTCTTTATTAAAGGTGACTGTGTCTCCAGCATTATGGAGACACAGTGTGAAGGGTAGTATCTTGTTACGTATTTATAGTCATGCCAAAAGTAGTTAGTGTTACCCCGTGGTTCCATAGAGTTAAAAAACTTGCCCAAGATTCAAATCTGGTAAACCCAGGACTAAATTGTCACTAAAGTGACAGACACCAGAATGATGATGACTATGCTGTTTGGGTTACTCTGGCTGATTCTTTGTATGGTATCTTCTGTACGCAGTACAAAGCCCTCCTTAGTTGAGTCCAGCATACCACAAACAGCTGCTGGGGTGTTCATATTTTCAGGCCTTTCAGTTCGGAGAACTCCAAGTGCAGTGGAGGCAGTGAAACCACGGGAAGAAGACCAACCTATCCCTGTCCGACGATTCTCTTCTGACTGCAACATCACTCAGGTGCATCACACACTCCTGAGGGAAAATGTAGATGTGTCTGTTACTGGGAAACCTAATACAGTAAACTTCACAGATGTCAGCATCATTTTTTAGGGGCATTGCTGACCAAGTTTCTCCTTTTTGGAGACAGAGTCTCAGTAGCTGAGGCCAACCTGGAGCTTACTGTGTAGCTGAGGGTGATCTCCAGATCCTCCTGCCTCCATGTTCTAGGTGTAGAGAATATAGGCATATACTACCATACTCAGTTCATTTTAATGTAAACCCTTGCTGTGTAGCCCAGGATGACCTTGAATTCTTGATTCTCCTGTGTCAGTATCTGTCTTAATGTTCTATTGCTATGAAGAGACACCATGACTATGGCAACTGTTATAAAGGAAAGCGTTTAATCGGGGCTTGCTTACAGTTTCAGAGTTTTAGCACATTGTTGTCATGGTGGGGGGGCATGGTGGTACACAGGCAGTCAAGGTGCTGGAGGAACTGAGAGTCCACATCTGGATCTGCAGGCAGCATGAAGAGAGCAAGACACTAGGCCTGGCTAGAACATTTGAAATCCCAAAGCCCACACCTAGTGACACACTTCCTTTAACAAGGCCACACCAAATAGTGCCACTCCCTGGTGACCAAGCATTCAAATCTGTGAGCCTATGGGGGCCATTCTTTTTTTTTTAAGAATTTATTTATTTATTGTGTATACAACATTCTGCTTCCATATATATCTGCACACCAGAAGAGGGCACCATGTGGTTGCTGGGAATTGAACTCAGGACCTCTGAGTCAGTGCTTTTAACCTCTGAGCCATCTCTCCAGCCCGCCATTCTTATTCTAACCACTAGTGTCCCAATTTCTGGGATTAAAGAAAGGCATGTGCCACCATGCCTAGTCCTCTTTTTCACTTTTAATTAAGAAAAGAACTCATTGCTGGGCGGTGGTGGTGCACGCCTTTAATGCCAGCACTTGGGAGGCAGAGAGGCAAGTGGATCTGTATGAGTTTTCGGCCAGCCTGGTTTACAAAGTGAGTTCCAGGATACCCAAGGTTACACAGAGAAACCCTGTCTTGAAATACTAGAAAACCAAAACTAAAAACATACAAACAAAGGAACTCAAATAGTAATTAAAATGATTATGCTTAACTCATTTATGGTATATATTTTTTAAAAATGTGTATGAGTGTTTTGCCTACATGTGTGTCTTTTCAGTACATGCATACTTGGTGCCTGTGAAGGCCAGAAGATCCCCTGGAACTGGAGTTACAGATGGTGGTGAACCATCATGTGGGTGCTGGGAAATGGCATCCACTGCTCTTAATAGCTAAGCGACCTCTCCAGTTCCAAGGCTATATATTTTCCAGTCATTCTTGTTAATAGTTGGAAGTTAGTGAGAATCCTTTCTTAGGGAGTTGTTTTGGTTTTTGATATTGGTGATTGAACCTGTGGCCTCACATATGGTAGACAAGTGTACTATCACTGAGGTATGTTCTCTAGACCATTTTTCTATTTTTATTTCGAGTCTTACAGACTCACTGACTGACCTTATATTCACTATGTAGCCCAGGCTAGACTTGAGCTTACAATCCTCCTGCCTCAACCTCTGAAGTACCTGAGATTACAGGTCTGTACCAGCAGGCCAGAATAAGAGCTTCCATTGGGCAACACTTTGTCTGTTTTTCTGTATCACTAAATATCCCATCTATACAGCCAGATTTTTAACTCATTTGCTAATCATTAATCTTTAGTTTCCTGTTTGTGTCAAGTTATTTAAGGTTTTTTTGAGACAGGGTCTTCTCAGATTAACTGTATAAAGCCTGGGCCAGCCTGGGATTTACTGAAATTCTTCTGTCTTAGTTTTCTGAGCACTGGGATTAGATGTGAGCCACCACACCTGACTGTGTTGTTTACAGGTGTCATTTAGTTACTTCACTAATTGATGTCTGAACTTTCTAAAGCTGCAAGGTTTATGTGAATTACATTAGGTAACCCTGTAAATAACTTTAATAGTCTCACATAGGAGCGAGTGGAAATTGCCTGGATTGATGTGTCACTGTGTCTCATTTAAAATGCCGGTATTCCTTGTGGGGTAAGCCTCTCTGCCTGAGAGCTGAATCTCCAGAGCAGCCTGGGCTGCTCTGCAAAGGAAATATCTTCATAGCTGAGACTGGGGCCTTGAAAAGCTTTCACCCTGGCAGTCTTCAGTCTGAAATTGTGAACTTCATGAGTGAACTGTGACATCATTTGAATAAATTTGTTTTGTTTTATTTTTTGAGACAGGGTTTCTCTTATTTTTTAAAATTAACAAAATGTTTTAAAATTATGTATAATATTCTGTCTGCATGTATGCCTGCAGGCCTGAAGAGGGCATTAGATCTCATTATAGATGGCTGTGAGCCACCATGTGGTTTCTGGGAATTGAACTCAGGACCTCTGGAAGAACAGCCAGGTCTGTGAAGAATTGTGTTGGGATTTTGATGGGGATTGCATTGAATCTGTAGATTGCTTTTGGCAAGATTGCCTTTTTTTTTTTTTTTTTTTGGTTTTCCGAGACAGAGTTTCCCTGTGGCTTTGGAGGCTGTCCTGGAACTAGCTCTTGTAGACCAGGCTGGTCTCGAACTCACAGAGATCCACCTGCCTCTGCCTCCCAAGTGCTGGGATTAAAGGTGTGCCCCACCACCCGGCAAGATTGCCATTTTTACTATGTTGATCCTACCTATCTAAGTACATGGGAGATCCTTCCATTTTCTGGTATATTCTTTAATTTCTTTCTTTAAAGACTCAAAGTTCTTACTATACAGGTCTTTCTCATTTTTGGTTAGTGTTACCCCAAGGTATTTTATTTTGCAGGTTGCTATTGTAAAGAATGATGTTTCTATGATTTCTTTCTCAGCACATTTATCATCCATATATAGTAGGGCTACTGATTTTTTTTTTTTTAGTTAATCTTGTATCCTGCTACTTTGCTGAAGGTGTTTATCAGCTGTAGGAGTTCCCTGGTAGAGTTTTTTTGGGTCATTTATGTAGACTATCATATCATCAGCAAATAGTGAGTTTGACTTCTTCCTTTCCAATTTGTATCCCCTTGATCTCCTTCTGTTGTCTTACTGCTCTAGCTAGAACTTCAAGGACAATATTGAAGAGGTATGGAGAACAAGCCTTGTCTTGTTCCTGTTTTTAGAGGAATAGTTTGAGTTTCTTTCCATTTAGTTTGATGTTGGCTGTTGGCTTACTGTATATTGTTTTTATTATGTTCAGGTATGTTCCTGTTATTCTGGATCTCTCCAGGACCTTTATCATGAAGGGATGTTGGGGCAGGGAGGTTGAGTTGGGGGAAGAACAGAAGAGAGCAAGATAAGAGATAATATAATAGAGGGAGACATTATAAGTTCAAAGAGAAATCAGGCACTAGGAAAATGTCTGGAGAGCTACAAAGATGACACCAACTAAAAATCTAAGCAACAGAGGAGAGGCTACCTTCAATGCCCTCTCCTGATAATGAGATTGATAACTAATTCATATGCCATCATATAGCCTTCATCCAGCAGCTGGTGGAAGTAGAAGTAGACACCCACAGCTAAACCTTGAACTGAACTGAAATCAAGATGACACTCAAAAGTACATCCCTGTCATCGCAGGTTGTCAGTGGTGTGTCAGCGCAAGATGCCGTGTGTGTTTTTGGACACTCTGTAAGTTTGGGAGACTGAGCTGGATTCCACTTCCATAGCAACGACAAAATTCTAGCCCCAGTCTCTGAGTTAGTGTCAGACAACATGGGGGGGGGGGCAGGGGAAGAGGGGAGGGAGAGGGACCTGGGATTGACATGTAAAATAATCTTCTTTCTAATTAAAATAAAAAATAATAATAATAATAATAATGAACAACCAGCACTCTGAACCACTGAGCCATTTTCCCAGCCCTGAGACAGAGTTTCTCTGTATAGCCCTGGCTATCCTGGAATTCACTCTGTAGATCAGACTGGCTTGAACTCAAGAGATCCACCTACTCTGCCTTCTGAGTGCTGGGTTTAAAGGTATGCACCATCACAAGGTGGTGTTCATTTGAATAAATCAACTTCAAGTTTTCTATTAGTTTCTCCTTTTTCATTGTGTGAAAGATACATTGTGTCTAGTTATTTGCACATAAAACATTTGGAGTGTTACATTCTGGTTTTGTTATTCTTTCCCAACACTAATAGGAAAAGAGACAGTCACATGGTCTCTCTGAGGATGAGTTAAGTTCTTCTACAAGCTCAACTGAGAAGTCAGATGGGGATTCCAGGGAAGGGTGAGTTGTTGGTTTCCTGTCTCAGTTCTGTTTGAGCTGAGTCTAAAAACTATTCCTATCTGTGGTATTCATAACATTACAAATAGTTAGTGGTACATGCTGGAGCTTAAACGTATCTTCTGTGAGGGGCTGGAGTGTTGGCTCAGTGGTTAAGAAGGCTGGCATTTCTTCCAGGGGATCTGGATTCACTTTCCAGCACCCACCTGTTACCTCACAACCATCAGTAACTCCAGTTCCAGGGGAGCCAACACCCACTTCTTGCCTCCATGAGCACTGAATGCATGTGGTGCATATAGATGCAAGCAAAACACCTACACTTGTAAAGTCATTTAAATGGCCGGCGGTGGTGGTGCAGTGGTGGTGCACGCCTTTAATCCCAGCACTCGGTAGGCAGAGGCAGGCGAATCTCTGTGAGTTTGAGACCAGCTTGGTCTACAGCTCGAGTTCCAGGACAGGTTCCAAAGCTACAAAGAAACACTGTCTCGAAAAATAAAACAAAGCAAAAAAACAAAACAAAACAACAATTTAAGACATATATATCTTCCCTGAAAACAATGTAATTTTCTTTCAGAATATATTCTTGGACCTCCAATTTTGTTGTTGTTATCAGTGATAGCTGTTACTTTCCTTACAACTTTTGTGACATACACACACATACCCTTGCCTTCTCTGGCATCTTTTGGGTTTTTTTGAGACAGGGTCTCGCTGGACTCTGGGAATCTAAATAAATGTGTATTAGACTGCTTATGGATGCACACAGTATCTGTCATGCTCTGATTATTCTTCTGCATCTTTTCTTTGTTCTGTTTTGCATAGATTCTATTGCTAGGAAAGATTTGAGTTCACTTACCTGTTCTGTGTCTAGTCCATTCACCCCATTTAACACGTTGTGTTTTCATTTCTAAAAGTTTAACATAGGCCTATTGTATGTCTTCCATATTGTTACCTTGGCAAGTCCATGTTTTTCTCTATGTAGTCATATGAAATATATTTACAATAACAACTTTAATGTCCCCATCTATTTATCCTATTATTTGTGTTCTATAAGTTTCATTTTTTTCCCCTTCACAAGGGTGATCTCTCCCGCTTCTTCTCAGTTCTGAGTAGAGCGGACCCTGTGAATTTTAGCTCTCTGAGGCTGGTATTTCTGTGTTCCTATGACTATTCTTGACTTGTTTGTTTGTTTGTTTCTCTTTTTTTATTTTTCAAGACAGGGTTTCTCTGTGTAGCTTTGGAGCCTATCCTGGCACTCGCTCTGGAGACCAGGCTGGCCTGGAACTCACAGAGATCCGCCTGCCTCTGCCTCCCTAGTGCTGGGATATTCTTGACTTTTATATTTGTGTAAAATTAAGTCACTTGGAAATGGCTATGTAGAATTTGTATGCAAAAGTGGGCTGCTTCTTTCTGGTCCTCTCCTTTTTCAGATTCCTCTCACCTTCCACTTAATCAGTGGCTATTGCGCCCTGACCCTTGCTTCTGCAGGTCAGAAAGCCTCACTTTTGTATTTTGAGATGCCTGTGGTCTGACACTGGACTCCTTTCCAAAACCACCTATTGATTTTGTTCATTCTTCATTGCCTTCTTGAAGTTGATTTTTGTATTTTACAAGATTATAGTTACTGTTTCTAATTTACATTATATATATTTACTTAAACACACACACACACACACACACACACACACACACACACACAGGGTCATTTCACATCTAACTTGCCGTGATGTCAGGTAAATACTAAGGAGTTTTTTCCCTCTCAGGAAAGGTCATACAAATGAAATGAGTGACCTGGTACAGCTGATGACTCAGACTCTTAAGCTGGATTCCAAAGAGAGCTGTGAAGATCTCCCAGTCCTAAATCCAGTGTCAGAATTCAGACTTCATCGGAACTATCGAGACACGCTGGTACTTCACGGCAAGGCTGCAGAAGAGGTGGAGCTCCACTGCCAAGAGTTGCCTTCAGGTGACTACTTTATTTTTCCCCAGCAGCATAGCAAATGCAGGTAGTGGGGAACAAGGTTAATACTGTAAGTTGGTTTTGTTTTTAACTTTTTGTTTGGATAGCTACATAAATGGTGTATCTTAGGCTGGGTGTTGGTGGCACACACCTTGAATCCCAGGACTTGGAAGGCAGAGAGGCAGATGGCTCTCGGTGAGTTGGAGGCCAGCCTTGTCTACAGAGTGAGTTCTAGGACAGCCAGAGCTGTTACACAGAGAAACCCTGTTTTGAAAAGCCAAAACCAAAACCAAAACAAAACAAAACAAAACAAAAGGTGTATTTCATATAGTCAGTAGATACATTCCAAAGTTTCATGAAAATGTATATGTCTTTGTATTTTGGTTGTATGAGGCAGTGTCTCATGTAGCTCAGGTTGACCTCAAGTTTGCACTGTAGCTGAGGACAGCTTTGAATCCCTGATCTTCTGGCCTCAGCCTCTCAAGTGCTAGAGTTTGTGGATATGTGTGTGTGAGTACAGTGCCCTTGCAGATTAGAGGAACTGGATTCTCAGAAGAGGTCCTCTGATTCCCTGGAGCTGGAGTTACAGGTGGTTGTGAGTCACCTGATGTGGGTATAGAATTGAATTCAAGGTCCTCTAGGAGAGCAACAAGTACTCTTAACCACTGAAGCCATCTCTCCAGCCCCCTGAAAATTGATTTTTAAAAATTAATGTAAATAAATAAATAAGCCTTATAACATTGCATAAAATATTTGAACTTTTTATTGTGAATTTTCTTCAAGTTAGACAGTTGTTAATTGTTGATCTTCAAGTTAGTTTAGATTTTGGAGATGATAGCATGAAGCTTAATACTTAGTTTATTAAAATACTAGAGATGAAACTTAGTGGTAGGCACTTAATCTAACGTGTACAAGGCCCTGGGTTCCATTCATCCCTAGCACAACAAAAATGAATTTTTTAAAAACTAAAATATAGGGGCTGAAGCGATGGCTCAGCAGGTTAGAGAGCTGGTCGATGTTACAGAGGACCTGGGTTTAATTCCCAGCACCTATGTGATAGCTCATAACTGTCTGTAACTCCAGTTCCAGGGGATCTGAGGTCCTCTTTTGGTCTCTGTAGTCACTGCAGATGTGGTGCAGAGTCATACACACAGGCAAATACCTATACACATAAAATAAATGTACAGAGAAGTTTCTGTCCTAGCTGGTCCTGCAGCCATTTAGTCTGAAGTAAATGCACAGAGGCTTATATTAATTATAATCTTTTTGGCTGATGATTCGGGCTTCTTATTGGCTAGCTCTCTCTTAATTATTAACCCATTTCTATTAATCTGTGTATCTCCATTTGGTCTTGGCTTACTGATGATGCCCAGACCTCTTGCTTCCTCAGCACCTACATGGCGTCTCTCTGACTCTGCCTACTACCTTTCTCCATCCCTGTTTGGATTTCCCACCTGGCTAAAACCTGCCTATCCATTGGCCAAAACAGCTTTATTCATCAGCCAATAAGAGAAACATATATTCACAGCATACAAAATGATATCCCCCATCATCTCTTCTTTTCTGTCTAAATAAAAAGGTTGTAACTTTAATATAGTAAAATTATATGTGACAAAACAGTTACCAAGTAAGAATTATAGTAACAATATTTAATCCATTTACATTTGGCAAAATTTAAAGAGTCTACCATCTATCCTATCTTTGTGAGACTAAAGTTTTTTTTAAATTCTCTTAATATGAACCACTTATTATATAAAATTTATTTATTACATAAACTTATCTATTCATTTATTTGGTATGTGTATGTTTGTTTATGTGTTTGTGTGTGTTTTTGTGTAGGTTAGAGGATAACTTGTGGGAATCAGTTCTTTCCTTCTACCATGTAGATTCCTGGGATTGAACTCAGGTCATTCAACTTTGGATCCAAGTTCTTTTTACTTGTGTAACCATCTTGCTGGCCCCTTAGTATTTTCCCTAAGTCATGCAGCCCCCTCTGAATGTTGATGTTTTTTAAATAAATTTTATAATTTAAAAACAATCTTATTTTACATATCAATCCCAGTTCCCACTCTCTCCCATCCTCCCATGTCCCCTACTGACCCCCAATAGTTTTATATGAAACTTATCTTTTATCATAACTAAGGAAAACCATAACCATAACCATCTGTCTTCAACTTCATTAAATACCCAGAAGGATATAATATAAACTCTAGAACTGACAGAGACATCTTGCTGCCTGGACAGTCACCCAAATTTTCTCTGTAACCTTGGGGCATCTTCAGTCCATAGGCCATAGTGTCTGGCAAACTTTTTAATGAAGTAGGGAATTTGAAGGAACATTCTGTCCCTTGGCAAGGTTAGCAGTTACTTTTCTTTGTAACCTGCTTGTCCAGTTGGGACATTGTGCTGTCAAGCAGTCCAGGCAAGAGCAATTTCTTGTCCAAATGCCTATTCTGCCATGTTGAAGGCAAACTCTGTAACAAAAAGTTTCTTCGATGCCCATCTTCCTCTCCAATGTAGTTGGTGTTGCCAGGAGCAGTTGTATCTCATTGTAAAGAAAAACCCTAATAAACCATTTTAAATGCCATATTCTGTAGGTTTTTGAAAGGTTTTGAAGAATACCTATTCATTTGAAATATCTAGAAAACCTATTTTGACGATTACAGGTGATTGTCTATAATCTGTATTATACATTACATTTTTAATGAGCTGTATAAATATAATACCTAAATAAGAGTAGAAATATACATATAACAAAATTGACCTTAAATTTGTATCAGTAAACCCAAATCCATATCAATGTATTCATTTCTATACATATTTCCTTTTCTGTTTTTGGAAAGAGATTGGCCAAAACAGCTTCACTTATCAACCAGTAAGAGAAACATATATTCACAGTATACAGAAGGACATCCCCCATCAAATAAATATAATTTTTTTTTAGAAACTAAAGTATATAAATAAGTTAGACAAGTTTGCTCATGCCTATAATTGCTGTACTTCGAAGCCTGGGGAAGGAGTAGAATTTGTAGCCTGCTTAGGCTACAGACTAAGACCATGCCTCAAACGGAAAAGAATAATTAACATGATAATAAAGTAGGAATGGTAAGGTAATGGATAAAAGACTATCTGAAGTGAGAAAGAGGAGCCAGTGACTGGTGGGGAGGCCTGGGGATATCATAGGAGTTAATTATGATCTAAGTGTGATAATATATACAGATGTCATAATTTGTATGTAAATTAACAAATTTTGAAACTAAAGCACAACAAGATGTATTTTTTTATTTTTTTTATACCTTGGGGGTTTTTTGTTTGTTTGTTTTATGTTTTGAAAACAATGATCTCTCTACACAGCCCCAGCTGCCATGGAACTTATTATGTAGATCAGGCTGGCCTTGAACTCACAAGGATCCACCTGCCTCTACCTCCTGAGTGCTGAGATTAAAGGTTTGTGTCATCATGCCCAGCTCAGAAAAAGGTGTATAATGGAAGTCATTAAGCCAAATTCTTATTGAAGTGAAAACAATTGCAACAGGAATTTTAAAGATTGTATTGTTTTTGCTGTAGTGGTATTTATTTCCCCTGTTTTTTTTGTTGCTGCATTTTTAGCTATCATACCAGGTTCTGAGAAGATCAGGAGAATAGTTGAAGTTTTGAGAGCTGATGTAATCCAGGGCCTGGGGGTTCAGCTTCTAGAGCAGGTGTATGATCTTTTGGAGGAGGAGGAAGATGAATTGGAGAGAGAGGTAAGTATCTTAAACCATGCAAGCTGCTTGTGTTATAGACTTTAATTGAGCTGTACATTTAGCCCCACTTCCCTTCCTTCCTCCCCTCTCCCATCCCACCCTCCCTCCTGCCCCTCACGTTCCCAATTTACTCAGGACAACTTGTTTTTTTCCCCTTCCTAGTCAGATCCATGTGTGTCTCTCTTAGTCTCCTCTTTGTTACCTAGGTTCTCTGGGGTTGTGACCTGTAGGCTGGTAATCCTTTGCTCTATGTCTAATATACATTTAATGAGTGAGTACATATTACATTTGTCTTCCTGTGTCTGAGTTACCTCACTCAGAATGGTGCTCTTTAGTTCTGACCATTTGCCTGCAAATTTCAAGATATCTTTGTTTTTTTACCACTGAGTAGTACTCCATTGTGTAAATGTACCATATTTTCTTTATCCATTCTTTGGTTGCCTGGCATCTAGGTTGATTCCAGGTTCTGGCTATTACACATAAAGCTGCTAAGAACATAGTTGAGCAAATGACCTTGTGGTGTGAGTGTGTATCCTTTGGGTATATGCCCAAGAGTGGTATTGCTGGGTCTTGTGATAGATTGATTCCCCATTTTCTGAGAAATCGCCATACTGATTTCCAAAATGGCTGTACAAGTTTGCACTTCCACCAGCAATGGAGGAGTGTTCCCCTTTCTCCACATCCTCTCCAGTATAAGCTGTCATCAGTGTTTTTGATCTTGGCCATTCTGACAGGTGTAGTATGGTATCTCACACTTGTTCTGATTTACATTTCCCTGATGACTAAGGATGTTGAGCATTTCCTTAAGTGTCTTTTGGCCATTTCAGATCTCCATTTAGATCTGCAACCCATTTTTTTAGATACTTTTTATTTATTTATTCCTTTTTATTTAAATTAGAAACAAGCTTCTTGTACATGTCAATCTTAGTTCCCTCTCCCTTCCCTCCTCCCCTGCCCCCCCAACCTCCTACTGTACCCCATTTTTTAATTGGGTTATTTGGTCTTTTGATGTCTAGTTTCTTGAGTTCTTTGTATATTTTGGAGATCAGCCCTCTGTCAGATATGGGATTGGTGAAGATCTTTTCCCATTTTGTAGGCTGATGTTTTGTCTTGTTGACCATGTAATTTGCTTTACAGAAGAGTCTCAGCTTCAGGAGTTCCCATTTATTCATTGTTGCTCTCAGTGTCTGTGCTACTGATGTTATGTTTAGGAAGTAGTCTTCCATGCCAATGCATTCAAAGATACTTCCCACTTTCTCTTCTGTGAGGCTCAGTATGGTTGGTTTTATACTGAGGTCTTTGATTCATTTGGACTTGAGTTTTGTGCATGGTGTTAGATATAGATTTATTTGCATTCTTCTTTCTACATGTTGACATCCAGTTATGCCAGCACCATTTGTTGAAGATAATTTCCTTTTGCCATAGGTGGGTGGATTGATATCAGGGTCTTTGATTCAATTCCATTGGTCCACCTGTCTGTTTTTCTGCCAATACCAAGCTGTTTTTATTACTATAGCTCTATAGTAGAGTTTGAAGTCAGGTATGTTGATACATCCACAAGTTCCTTTATTATACAGGCTTGTTTTGGCTACCCTTGTTTTTTTGTTTTTCCATATGAAGTTGAGTATTGTCCTTTTGAGGTCTGTGAAGAATTATGCTGGGGTTTTGAAGGGTATTGCATTAAATCTGTAGATTGCTTTTGGTAAGATTGCCATTTTTTATTGTGTTAATCCTACCTATCCAAGAGCATGGGAGAGCTTTCCATTTTCTGATGTCTTCGATTTCTTTCTTCAAAGACTTAAAGTTCTTATCATACAGATCTTTCACTTGTTTGGTTAGAGTTAACCCAATATATTTTATGTTATTTGTGGCTATTGTAAAGGGTGATGTCTCTGATTTCTTTTTCATTTTGTTTATCTTCTGTATATAGGAGAGCTATTGATATTTTTTAATCTTGTATCCTGCTACATTACTGAAGGTGTTCATCAGTTGTAGGAGTTCCCTGGTAGAATTTTGGGGTCACTTATGTATACTGTCATATCAACAAAAAATAGCAAAAGTTTGACTTCTTCCTTTCCAATTTGTATCCCTTGATTCCCTTTTGTTGTCTTATTGTTTTAGCTAGAACTTTGAGTGCTATGTTGAATAGACATGGAGAGAGAGGACAGCCTTGTCTTGTTCCTGAGTTCAGTGGAATCTCTTTGAAACCATCATCCGGTCCTGGCCTTTTTTTGGTTGGGAGACTTTTGATGGCTGTTTCTATTTCCAGGGGGGTTCTAGGTCAATTTAATTTGTTTATCTGGTCTTGATATAATTTTGGTATGTGGTACTTAATTTAATTGGGAAGAGAGGACGTGCCAGGTGTTCTCCAGTAAGCCAAGACCACATGGAAATACATAGATTAATAGAAATGGGTTAATAATTAAGACAGAGGTAGCCAATAAGAAGCCCAAGCCACCAGCCAACAGTTTCATAATTAATATACGTCTTTGTGTGTTTATTTGGGGCTCAAGGGTGGCAGAACCCTGACAGGCCAGAAAACTCATGCTCACAACGTTTTCACTGTTCCCCACAGAACCTTATACCGTTAGTAGTGTTCCCCATTGTCTCCCCAGTCCCCACCTACCCCCAAGCAGTCACAAATAGTTCTCTCAGAATATATTTGCACGTGTTTCCTATTCTGGACAATTTGTATCAATGGAATCTCATGTAAGTGATCTTTTGTTTTATCTCCATGTAATCTTTTGAAGAGTTATCCATGTTATAACATGTACTAATACTTCAGTTTTTCATGGCCATATATATTATCCTATGGATTTTCTTTATTCATCAGCTGATGGATATTTGTCTGGTTTTATTTTTTTTAACTCTTCTGAACACTCATGGACGAATTTTTGTGAGGCTTCACTTTTCTTGATTTTTACATTCCTCTAGGAATGAAGTTGCTTGATCATACAATAGCTATATTGAAATGTTTGGGCAGTTTCCAGAATGTTCCCTAAGGTGACTACATCCTTTTATATTCCCACAAGAGTTTAAGATAAGAGCTTCTAATTCCTCCACACTCTTGACAATCCTTCTTTTTGTGTGACTGATTATAGCCATTCTAGTGGATATAAAATGGTATTCATTGTAAGTTTGGTTTATATTTCCCTGATGATGAATGATGTTGTGTATATTTTCATATACTCTTAACAATTTGTGTATTTTCCTTGGAGAAATGTTTATTTAAACTTGGGCTATTAACCTTTAAATTGTCAAGTTTTTATATATTCTGTATACAAGTCTCTCATCAGTATAAGATTTACAAATGGTTCTCCTAATGTATGGCAATGTTTGATTCAATCCTTACACTATGAGCCTATACCTATACAGATTTTCTATTTCTTTGTGAGTCAGTCTTGGTAAGTTGTTTATTTCTAGGAATTTCTCAAGTTTCAACTAGGTTATTCAGTTGATTGCCATACATTCATTTATAGTTGCTTCTATAATTTTATTTGTATAGGATTGAAAATAATATCTCCATTTTAATTTCTAATTTTCATATTCAGAATCTTCTCTCTTGCTTAATCTGTTTAAAATTTTGTAACGTTTCAGTAGTACTTGCTTCTAGTCTCAGGTACTCAGAAGGCTATGGCAGGAGGTCACTTGATTCCAAGTGTTTCAGACCATGGGGCAATATCAAGATCTGTCTGAAAAAGAGACAGGGGGTAGTGGGCAGGGGTGGTGGTGGTGGTGGTGGTCAGGGGCACTTGACTGGAGGAGGAGAAGAGGACTGAGGTAGTAGTCTGGTTTTCTTGGGATGCTGTGCTGTGTGGTCTGGGACAAAGGTGATTGGAGCCCCATTGTTATTAGTGTAGCTGCACTCACAGTTAATCTCCATCCTATAGGCTATGCTGGGCACAAGAAGAACTATTGCTTCTTGGCTAAACTCTCCTGAATTTTAGCTTCAGTTTTGCAGTAGGGTGACAGACATGTTGATGTCCTGCTTCTCCCAGAGAGATACCCTTTCTCCTGGGAGCAAGGAGGCCTATGTGAGGGTTTGATGGCAGTTTACTGGGATTCACATACTAAGACACATTTTTCTTTCCATTTTATTCCCTGGAACTGGAATTACAAATGGTTGTGTGCTGGCTGGGAATTGAACACAGGTCCTCTGGAAAAGTAGCTCTTAACTACTGAACCAACTTTACAGCTCTTATTAAATGTTCCGGGCTTTGGTGGCGCATGCCTTTAATCCCAGCACTCTGGAGGCAGAGGCAGTCAGATCTCTGAGTTTGAGGCCAGCGTGGTCTACAGAGAAAATTCCAGATCATCCAGGGCTATACAGAGAAACCCTGTCTCAAAAAAATAAGAATAAAACACTACTTGATTTTTTATTTTTCTATTTTCTTCTGTTTCCTTTCTTTTCTGTTTTAGACAGGGTCTCATGTAGCCTAGACTGATCTCAGATTTGCTGTGTAGCTGAAGATGACTTTGAACTTCTGATGCTCTTGCTTCCACACCCCAAGTGCTGGAGTTATAGGCATATGCTTCCAAACACAGTTTATGCTGTGCTAGAGACCAAACCCAGTGCCCCCTGAATGCTACGCAAAACTAAGTCACATCCCAGCAACTGTGCTTCTCTATTTTCTCAAGAATAGTTTCACATTGTGTTTTTTAGTGAGGGCCTCTCTTTGTAATATGAACTGACCTCAGATTGGAGTCCTCCTGCCCCTGCCTCCTGATGCTGGTGTGTTAGACAAGTGCTAGCATTCTTAGCTAGGTTATCCTTTTCTTTTCTTTCTTTCTTTCTTTTTTTAATGGCAGGATCTAGGTTGGTCTCAGATTCACTATGTAGGCTGGTCTTGAATGCTTAACCCTCTTGCTTCCACTTTCAGATGGCGTATTTTTCCAGAGTGATATTGTATCTTCAGTGAATTACATCAGACTATGCATCATATCCATCCAGGATACTAGGTGTAGTCTAAGTTTAAGCATCCATTTTAACAGATCTATACTGATACATGCCTTTTGGGGTTGCTAGTTAGGTCTTATAAGCCTCACCCTTTTCTGTTTTAAAATTGGGTCTCACTAAGTTACTTAGTTTGGCTTCAAGCTCACTCAGGCAGGCCTTGAGCTTGAGTAGATGTGATTCAGGTCTGGATTTGAAGTATTGAAATTCGATGTAGAAGTCAGCATGATGGCTCAGCAGGGAAAAACTCTTGCCATGTAAAGATAGAAGCAGTGGGCCAAGTCCACAGAACTGCCCTCTCACCTCCACATGGGCTCCATGGCACGCTTGAACCCACACAGCTGTACACAGATCATACGCCCACAATAATTTTATTTAAACAAAACTGGTAGTATTTCCCCATATGGTTTTCTCCTCGGTATTGTTGGAAGACATCACATTCAGGGGAGTAGTGAAAATGAAGCAGTGTTTAATGTATGATTCAGAAGAACAGGACAAAACAGAGAAAAGGAAGAAGTGGCTGGCATGCTCACTTGACACAAGACAGTGGTGTTTTTGTTTTGTTTTGGTTTTTTTTTTTTTTTTTTTTTTTTTTTTTTGACGGGGTTTTTTTTTGTGTTCTCTGTGTAGCTTTGGCACTCACTCTGTAGACCAGGCTGGCCTCGAAGTCACAGAGATCTGCTTGCTTCTGCCTCCCAAGTGCTGGGATTAAAGGCGTGTGCCACTAATGCCCGGCCAAGACAGTGGTTTTTAAAGTTCCAAACCAAGAAATTCTCCACCTTACTGGTTTACCTAATGAATAATCTGGGGCTTGAGACTTCCCTCTTTTCTGATGGTGGACTGTTTTGTAGCCAACTGCCTATAACTTCCTACCTCTTCTGTGCCAAACAGGTATCAGCTGCCAGCTTGGGGCTCAGTGCCTCCTGCTTATCTGGAATGGTGACCTCTAAGGTACCTCCTGTTGAAATGGACCTGTTTATTACAGTGTGATGCTTAGGAAAACCTTTGTTTTAAAGATTGTAGGAATTATTTTTGTTATGTGCTGATTTTATTGTCTGTTTCTCAAATAGGCACGGTTACGGGAGCACATGGGGGACAAGTACGCAACTTACAGTGTGAAAGCTCGCCAGTTGAAGTTTTTTGAAGAAAATGTGAATTTTTGAGATTTGTTCTAACTTGCTGCCAGAATTAGAGACTGTTTTCAGAGGTTTCTCACCCGAAAAACAACAACAAAAAACCTGTTTTGGCTATTCAGAGGCCACTCATGTCCTTCACTGTCTCTTTGGGGTCTTCCTACTATAAAACATTAGACAGAGTTGATTAATGTGAAATAAGTTCACAAAAGAAAAACCTTTGAATACCATTTTATTTTTATGAGGAAAATGTTATATTTGTTTGTTACTGTTTACTGAGCCTTAAACCAACTTTATATCCAGTTTATTTTTTTAAGATATTAACTAGCTTGAAATGGGGCCAGGAAACATTGGGTATTGTACTACAGTGATAAAAGCAACAGAAGAAACAACTGACATCTCGTAATACTTGCTATTGTGTATAATCTTGGAGAGCAGTGATGTTTATTCTCATCAACTTAACTATTCTTGGAATAGATTTAAAGAACATGAAGTTCTATGTTACATTTGAGCAATTTTTTTTACACATAAATGGATGTTTAAGATTTTCATTTAATCTGAACCTTAGTGAGGTTCAGTCTTTAGACTCTTAGAACTCTTGTTCAGTCTAAATGATAGCTTTGTGACTCATTATGACTTAACATGATTAATTTTTTTCCACCAGCAAAACCATCTCTTAAAGGTGAATTCCTCTTTCAACTAAGCAATGTCCATGTCCTTAGTTCTATTGGATACCTGCAATGTTTGTTTTTATATACAATGAAGTGTCAGTTGAGTCTCTGTATTTTAAATGTGTAACTGTAAGGCTGGATGCAGTGGTGCACACTTGAATCCCAGCATCTGAGAAACAGACAGGTAGATCATGAGTTCAGTGCTAGCCTGGATGACAAAGCAAGTTCAAGGCCAGCTCATACTAGAGACCCTCATCTCAAAAAAGAAAAGAAAAAAGTCATATTGTATATCACATGTTGTGTTAGTTATTTAATAAGTAATGTCCCTCTAGAAGTATTTTTATAAATAAAAGTCTTTAGTAAATTTTCATTTTTTAAGAGTGTGTGTGTATGCGTGTGTGTGTGTGTGTGTGTGTGTGTGTGTGTGTCTGTGTGTCTGTGTGTCTGTGTGTCTGTGTGTCTGTGTGTCTGTGTGTGCTTCAGTGCTCGAACAGGTACCTGAGAAGGCCAGAAGAGGGTGTTGGACTCCCTGACATTGACTTTATAGAGAAGACTTTTTCCATGTAGCCCGATTCCACTTGACCTGCAGCCACTGTAAGATAGCCACTCAGAGACTTAATATATATTGATAGTTGTCTGGCTAATGACTGAGCTTATTTTTGGCTGGCTCTCTCTCTCATAAATTAATCCATTACTACTAATCTGTATCATCATGTGGCTGTGACTTACCGGTGATACCCTGGCATCTTGCCTCCCCCAGCAGCTACATGGCCTCAGTATGACTCCACCTTCCTTCTCTCTCTGTCTTTGTTTGGAGTTCCTGCCCACCTATCTTTTGCCTGTCTATTGGACAAAACAGCTTTATTCATCAACCAATAAAAGCAACAAATATTCACAGCATGCAGGACATCCCACATCATGGCTTTGCAGGTGGTTGTGAGCCACCTGGTGTGGACACTGGGAACTGCTCTGAACTGCTGAGCCATCTCTCCAGCCCTATAACCTTTAAAGGACTGAAAATTACTCCACATATTTTTTGGCTGTTTGTTTTCTCAGACAGAGTCTCACTATGTAGCTCTGGCTGTCCTGTAACTTTTATGTAGACCAGGCTGGACTCAAACTCACAAGAGATCCACCTGTTTCTGAGTGCTGGAATTAAGACATATACTACCACACCCAGTTCCAAATGTTTTGTTTGTAGGGGGAAAATCATTTTCTTTGAGAATTACACACCAATATTTTAATGAAATGTTCTCCTAAAAGTCCCTTGTTTTTAGGATCATAAAACTTCATGATCCTACAGTCTTCAGGTTGCAGCCTAGTCCCTAAGGCCTCTTAATTTTGCTCTGAAGGGTTTATGAGAACAACTTGTAGACCCACTGTCAACTGGGTATAATTCTTCAGCAAACAGCCTTCTTTCCTGAGCAGTTCATTTCTTGCAAGTTTTGGAACCCTATGTCTTTCTGGACAGTCTTATTTCTCCTTTAGTTTCTAACTTACTGGCATAAATGTATTACCAAGTATCATTCTAACTTTAGAAAAATTATCCAATTTAACAAAACCAAACCACTGAGCCAAGTATGTGGTAGATACCTTTAATCCTAGTGCTTGTAAAGTACATGCAGGAACTCTTTGAATTCTAGGCCAGTCTGCTCATGTAGTGAGCTCCAGGCCAGCCAGAGCTACATAGTGAGACTGACTCAAAAAAAAAAAAAAATTCCATGTTTTCATATTCCCATATTGTGTTTTTTACATTTTTCTCTGTGTTTTTATTTAAACACCATTTTTTAAAGATTTTATTTATTATGTATATACACAGTGTTCCACCTGCATGTTTGCCTGCAGATCAGAAGAGAACACCAGATAATGTTACAGATGGTTGTGAGCCACCACGTGGTTTCTGGGAATTGAACTCAGGACCTCTGGAAGAGGAGCCAGTGCTCTTAACCTCTGAGCCATCTCTTCAGCCCCTAAACATTCATTGTTTAGACATTCATTCAGTTTCTATCTTCATTTTAAAATATTTCCTTGAGACAGAGGAATGGCTAAGTACCAGTCTGATGACCTAGGTTTGATCCCGGAACCCACATGGTTAAGAACTGATCTTAGCAAGCTGTCCTCTAGCCTCCACTTTCATGCTGTGGTGCACCTGCCCACACATGACACACACAAATAAATGTACATGTAACAGAAAAACAGAGAGTCTGGAGAGAGATGTCTCAGCAGTTAAGAGAGTATAGTACTCTTGCAGAGGACCCAAATTTGATTCTCAGCACCCTGACATCAAGTAGCTCACAGCATGGACCCGATGCCTTTGGCCTCTATAGGCACCTGCACTTCTGTGCACACACTCCCATACAGGCACAAGCACACATAGCTAAAAGATAAAAACAACTTAAAATTTAATATATATCAAGACTGCATTTTTCTTGTTTCCCTATGAAATCACTTTGATATGATAATCAGTTGGCACTGGTTTCTAAAGCATTCTGATTTTTTTTTTTTTGGAAACAGGGTTTCTTGAAAGCCTTGTCTGCCCTGGAACTCACTCGGTAGACCAGGCTGGCCTCGAACTCACATAAATCTGCCTGCCTCTGCCTCCCAAGTGCTGGGATTAAAGGCGTGTGACACCACTGCCTGGCTCTGAAGTATTCTTTAAGATTAATTTATTCTATATGTATTCTTGTTTTGCATGCATGAATGTTTGTTCACCACATGAATGCTTTGTGCCCAGAGGTCAAAAGGAGCCAGATTCCCTGAACCTGTAATGATAGATGGTTGTGAGCCCTACGTGGGTGCTAGGGATTGAACCTGGGTGCTCTTAATTGTGAAGCCGTATCTCCAGCCCCTAACAATTCTTACTTTTTTCACCATTTACCCTCCTTTTTGCCTTTGCCTAGTATATATTTGTTCCTGTTTTCTTCCTTTTTATTTCAAGACCATGAAGTAACTTGATTTGTTTTTTTCTATGTACACTGGTGTTTTGCCTGTATGTCTGTGTGAGGGTATTGCATCCGGTTCTTGGAGTTACCACAGTTGTGAGCTGCCACATGGGTGCTGGGAATTGAACCAGGGTCCTCTTGACCACTGAGCATCTCTCCAGGCTCCCTTGATTTTTAACTCTACCTGGAAGTTCTAACTTTCAATCACACTATACTTAATAATATGCCTCATCTGTCTTAATTCTTCTTTAAAAGAATCTTTTCTGAGTTTGTTGAATTAGGGTCTTTGCTGATGTTAAACTAACATTGCTTTTAATAATTCTTCCACATCCACTCTAACCTTTAGGCACACTTCTCTTTTCAGTCCTTTGGAAATATTAAAAGGAATGTCCAGCTTTGTAGTTATGGCTTTGGGCTCTCTCAAGTACACACATTTTCTACTTAATGCTCCTGGGTCAGAGGTGCCAAAGTGCTGTTTACCAGATTCACACTGGTACCTTTCCCAGAGGTGTTTGCTATTAAGAACTGACTGCCCCTCTTCCCATCTCCAAGTCTCCCTCTCCTTCACTCCCAGGCCCTTGTTTTTCTTCTTTCCCCTCACCTCAGGCTTGCTTCCTTCCTGAACTGTTGGCCAGGTTGGCCACCATGGGTCTGGCTTCAGCACAATGGGATGGAGGCTCCCTGAGAGAACTGGGTAGACTAGGCTCAGTCCTGCTTACAGCCACCTAACAGGTATCTGGTTGGAATTTGATAACCTCCTGGGATCTCTGAGCCTAAGACTTCCTCCTCTCCAACCAATTAGAATTATTTAAAAAGTAAATTAAAATTTAAAAAGAACCTGGGTGTGTGTGTGGGGGGGGGGGGGCGGGGGGGAAAGGGGTTGGGAAATGGCTCTCCAGGCAAAAGTTTTTTGCTGCCAAGCCTAACAACCTACCTTCAATCTCTGGAACCCACATAGAAGAAATGACTGTTACATCTGTCCTCTGATCTCTATATGTGGGCCCACACATACAAAAAATGTTAGAAACAACCAAACAAAAAAACAGTGGCTACGCCTGCCAACTGTCTTCTACCTCAACATGCACTCTCACACATGAAATAAAAATATTTTTTAGCTGGGCCATGGTGATCTCTGTGAGTTCAAGGCTAGTCTGGTCTACAGAGCTAGTTCCAGGACAGCCAGAGCTATTACACAGAGAAACCCTGTCTCGAAAAACCAAATTTAAAAAAAAAATTCTTAAAGTGAGAATTAAAAAAAAAAAATCTAGGAACTTGCAACAACAAGATGATGATTACATTTTCTAAACATAAAACACCTAATTTTGGCTTTTTAGTTGCAAAATATCCAACAAAAGATCTGTCAGATACAGAATTGTACCCTGAGTTTTAATTGAAACCATTTGGGCTAAGTGTGGGTGGGGCACACCTTTAATCCCAGTGCTTGGGAGGTGAAGGCAGGTGGAACTCTGTGAGCTCAAAAACAGCCTGGTCTACACAGCCAGGGCTGTGTAGAAAGACCTTATCTAAAAAACCAAACAAATAAACAAACAAAAAACACCACCACCAATAAAACCCACCATTAAAACAGTTCAATGACTCCTAACAGATTGTGAAACTTGGGTAATTACATATTGGACTATCAAGCCAGTAGTGGCATATACCTGTAATCTCAGCATCTTGGGAAGCTGAAGCTGGAGGATTTTGAGTTTGGTGACAGACTAGTCTACACAGTGAGAACCTACTACAAAATATTAGAAAGAAAAGAAAGGACTACCAGTTATGAGGTGTTTATTATGTACACCTGAAAGAAGCACTGCATACTGACATTACTGTTCTCCACAAGATCATGAAGAGATGGTATAAAATAGAAGTTAAAATACAACTGGATCAGAAATGAAACAAGGACAACTAGATCTCTTCACAGCTGTGCTGTAAGAATATAGGTGGTTTAAACTCATGTTTTGGTTTTGAAAACAATTCAGTTCATCACAGAGGAAACAAAAGCAGGTGCTGAACCGTGAAAGCTCCGATCAGTTATTTTTAGCATGTCTCTTAATTTTTCTGTCCCCTGATTTCTTGTCTTCTGTGCCTAAGTCTTGAACAGGTAACCACTTCAGGGGATGTCGGCGGTAGATAGGCCACGGAGGAAGTGTCAGCTAGATCAGAATGGAGAAAAGGCAGCATTTATTTCCATTCAAAGTTTACAAAAATCATTCTGTATATAATGTCTGGTCCTCAAATAACCACTCTGCTAAAGATTAACAAAACTGACCAGGCAAGATACATCAGGTAGCTAGAGCAAATTTTAAGTGTTTACACACACACACACACACACACACACACACACACACACACACACACACAGTTTTAAGAACTAAAAGAAAGATGGAGGCAGAGTGAGCACAGTAGGATACCACTGCCATGTTTCTCTTACTGCCTGGAGTAAACTGCAAAAGGAAATTAAAAAGCCCTGCTCTTCTGTGCAGCTCACACCACCTGACATTTAACATTCTACTTTTCCAATAACAGAAAGCAGAAACATGAATGGGAAACATGAAGAAACCGCTGATTCTGGTTCTCCCAACTAGGTCCAACCAAGTTTCCCAACTCAGAAATTTAAGTAACTGCTAATGCTCAAACACCCACAAATTTCTTACCAAACACGAGAAAGCAAATCCGGCCATAACTATGTAGACAGTCCACCCAAACTGTTCAGCCAGGTACCCGTAGATAAACCCAACTATCTGAAAAGAAACCGAGTATATTAAATACAGTCAAACCGAGGGCGACGGGATTACGAGATTAAAGGTAAAAGCAACACTTACTGCAGAAAATAGAATAATTCCCTGAAACATCTGTTCAGCTAGCTTCTGCCCCTTGTAATCCTAGAGACGAAAGAGAAGGGGCAGAGTTAGTTAGTCCTACTACCAACGGACTGCAATTCTTGTGGGGAAAACAGTGTTGGCACAGGGTAGCCGCACTCAACACCAGGAGTGTCCCAGAAGGGCCCGAATAAGGAAGCAAAATTTTGATTTTCCGGGGAAACTTTGAGCATCTTAACGGAGCATGGGTAAGGGGATCCTTTCTGGGGACCAGAAGAGGGCATAGGAGGGGAAAGTGACGGCAATCTTTGGGGATGCGAACCACGCAGCACTAGTTGGTGCTCCAGCGGGGATTTAGAAGCCGCTAGGCTCCAAAGAGGCGTGCAGGGACCTGGGACGCGTGTCCTTACCATCTGGGTGGGCAGCGAACTCAGATGTTCCAGCATGATTGGCGGAGAAGATCGACAATAAAGCGGGGATAGTCGATTCTTAAGGAATATGGTTTTCGGGGAGCGACACCGAACGTAGCCTGGCCGCCCAGCCGAGCCCCTCAGTCCGACGGCCGTGGCCCCGGAAGCGGATGTCTCCGACGGGCACAGACACCCTCTGGCCCCGCCCCGCGCCATCGCAAAAGGAGGTACGTCCCTAAAGGTTCCTAGAACTTTTAGCGCACTGCTCTCGAGGACTGAGGCCGCGACTTGGCCAGAGCATCGTGCGCCGGTCTGTGCTACTGGCTGGG